TGGGCTCCTGACTGACAATAACACCACCATCATTCACATAATCAGTGCCGTTAGACTTGTACGTGAAGAGATCGTCCTTGAACTCAACAGAGAATCTGGCCCCGGACTTCTGGAAAGGGACTCGGATCAAGACAGTATCATCCTTTGGACTTTTGACTGTGAATCCAAGATCAAGAGGGCGGATGACAACGTTGGAAGCTGGACCAATCGAAGACCCGTCAGTAGTAGCAACCCGAACATCGACGTCTTTGCGGTAGATAAACTGCGTCCAAGCCATATTAATTCCCTCGTCTGCCTCAATGGTAATCCCATCTCCGTCCGCAAAATTATACGCTGACCCAGGCTGAGATGGATCAAACATCTTGCCGTTGCCATTACGAGGAATGGACTCATAGACGAAAGAATGATGAAAGTCATATTCACCCGCAAGGGAAACGGAGACGCTGTATCGTCGGGAACGTCGGATCTCATCAGCCGCTACCGAAGTATTGGTGTTGACGACCGAATTTTCGTGCCACCACGTCGTGATATCGGAGTCTGGAACTTTAAGTTCGCAAAGTCGGGCTGCTGCGAGGAAGCTGAAGAACTTCCAGCATGGCAGTAACATGTTTGTAGCTGGGGATTAATCTGCGGACTTAAGGGGCCCATGGAAGCTGGGCTTGTTAGCTATAAATCCTCTTATTCTATCTCATTTCCAGATGAGCTCACATATTTAAACATAACACATAGCCACATGTAAAGAGGCCTCATTGCGTGTCAATTGATCGATCTAACAAAGAAACGGACCGACAAGACATCGTTGACCAATGGTATGCTCTAAGCCGAGACCCCATGCATCTTGGCATCCAGACGCCAGCCAGTGAAGCCAGGTATTTTTGGCGAGTGCGGCAATTTCATGCAGATGCATGTGTCAAAACCTCCCGAGAATCATTCCGGACTGCCAAGAAGCTTTTGTTCTGGCGCATATACAGTAGTCATATCCGATAGCAGGAACACTCGATTTTGTTCTCTCGCACGATTGGGAATGAGGTGGCTACAGCTAACCAGATGACATGCAGAAGTTGTCGCTGGATTTCGTCGGCTCTTAGAACCAACCAGAGCCAGGATCAAATGGGAAATTTGTTTTCAGCCGCACATTCTGCTATTCTAAGCGGGACAGGATGAAAATTATGAAACAGATCAGCGTCAACTGCGCCAGCTGCAGGTCAGGTATCTACTAGGCATAGTTTTCATGACTATAACAAGTCGTGAGTCTATCAAAATACCCTTTTCAAGTTATGATTATCTCGCCTGATAAACATAGGATTTGAGAACTAGATCAACTTAGCCTAAATCATTCGTTATTAAATTGTGCTTAATTTGTGTACTGAGTACTAAGGTGAGGGAATTCGGGCAGCCTGGCTAACGAGGCTCCGCAGGCACGCCAAATCAATATGCAGGCTGACACACAGGACTATCACAAGGTACAGCCCCGGTACAACTTCATGTGGGCGCACCAAATGTAAACTCAGCCCCTAATTGATGACTGCAGTCTTATTGTGAAGGATGGAACAATCTTGTTGCTTTAGCGTTTGATTTGACAGAGCGACGCAATTCCGAATAAAAATAATACAGTCTTAAAACGTTTCCTATATTCTTCAATAAATAGTAGATTATAATTCTGCTTTCTCTTCTTCTGTAGCTTTGGCGCTTACTTGTGTTTTATTGATTACACATACCAACAGGTAATAGCTATTTTCAACCCCCATGTTCAATCCAGCAGTAAGGTGGCTAACGTGAGTTGGGGGCTATTTGCTACAAAAGACCTCATTGGGTATTTAATGTAGCACAAAGCCAGGGTTTCAAGAGCCTACTCTTGAGCCCAGAAGTCACCCATTTGGACTAATGTTATTTTTCTTGGAGGTCCCCGGCCCACCCGATGTTGATCAGAGTGTTATGAAAACCATCATCCCGTGTAGCTCCACGACCCGTCATCCAGGCTTATGGTTAAAACGACAGGGTTATCTGCAGCCATGATATTTTTAGGAATTGATCAATGACTATTTTTATTCTAGCTGAGCTTCTGCAGCTCTTGGCACAGGATTTATCATGTAAATACTTCGCAAGGCTCTGGTAAGTCCTCCACTTAAATGCGATCGAATCTCTCGAAGCAAAGCATGTCTCTTTTCCTCCTAGCTTCAGCCTCCTACGCGCTGTGATCGCGTTGCTCGTCCCAAGACAACACTCAACGTCAGTTATAATCTTCTTAATATCAAAGGACATCGTTAGGATGGTCGACATAGAAAGCCACACGCCGGTCAAGGCGACCGACCGCCTACTTTCGGTACCAAATTACCCTCTCGCATCGCCCATCAACACTTCATCGGACAGCATACCCTTGAACAGGCTTCCGACAGGATCTTCTTTGTCAAGAGAGAACCTCGTCGATTCCATGTCCAAACCCAGACGATTTGCAATACCGTACCAGAATAAACTACAGATCATCTCAGTGGCGGTTCACGTTTTAGCCATCGCTATTACTATCGTCATTGTTCAGTTCAGGCTTCGCGAGATATACTGGTTTGACCAAACCGCGAAGCTTGATGTGCTCGGAATGGAGATCAGGGCCGAGTCAAATACATCAGCTCTACAGTTTGCTGCCAAGATCCACGAAGCCCTCATCCAAGCATCTCTAACTGCCATGGCATTCCATATTATAAGGCACATGCTTCGAGGTCAGGGTGTTTCGTTCGGCGTTTTGGATGGAGTATATCGGTTTGGCTCAGTCCCTTGGCTCTGGTCGAAAGGGCTTTGGGGTGCCTTGCACAGGCCTTCCCAGTACCAAAACTTCCTCTTCGCTATAGGTCTTGCGATGGCCGCTATTTACGCCAACGTTATTGCTCCATCGTCCGCAATCTTGCTCACTCCGACACTTGACTGGTGGAAAGTCCACGACGCCTTCAATGGCCAAAACTTTACAACCCTCATCACTGGAAATTCGAGTCGAGTGTTTCCGTCATACTTGACGCCGCGTGGCAAGTGTGAGGATGATCCTAGCTGGGATCAATGCCCCGGAGGAGGGTACAGCACTCTTCTCTCCTTGCTCAGAGCGTATCAAACCGACGGTATCGATCTTGAGACCCAGATTAAACTACCAGTTTCAAAGTCGTACCGGAAGATCAGTTCAACGCTAGATTTCAATAACTATACCGCAGCAAATGAAAGTCTTGCTGTCGCCACAACTTCACATACTTCAATCGCCATGATAGCGGGTCTGCTCTGGAACCACATCCGGGAACAGAAAGTGGGTAGGGTAAACGACATTGAGCGCCCGCAATTTCGACCCAGTATCCAGGACATTCGTGCACCGCTGGTACAGGTTCAGTGTTCTCCCTTCTCTTGGATCAATGCCACCAAGAAGATTCAGGATCCTATATTCAAGGTAAACAATCTAAGAAACTTCAGTCAACTTGTTGACAAAGAGGACACCGACAACTACCAACGAATGGGGAATCGAATCGCTAAACCAAAGGATTGGCTTCACACAGAATCCACTCTTCATATCCCTACTCTGAGATGGGTTGACGCTTCGTCTTTGTTTGATAATCCCAAGCTTTCTCTCGCTGCGGTCGCAACAGTCCCCGCGTATTATCTCCAAGGCGATAAAGCAAAGCTTGACAGCATAATCCTCCCATGCATGATCGATGCCCGCTGGGTAGATGTATCTCTTGAATACGATCCCACGATGGACAACACAATTCACAGTAATTTCACGGACCTGATGTCGTTAAGGCGTTATTGGGACCCCACAAACACGTCTAGTCCTCCTGGAGGGCTCACGTCACCAAACGTCGTGATTGATACATCTTGGGCCAGATCACTGAATCTCAAGACAAGATACCATTACAACGTTAAGAACGGAAAAAGAGGCGTCACAGCGATTGAGAATTTAATGGACACCTTTATAAAAACTGGCGACGACCATGATGAGGATGACGACGACTATATTCCCAATCACTTTGTTCCACCTTTCAACACAGCAACTGGCAGAAAGCTGGGAAACTTCACGACTGATGGGTCAAAAGTTGAATCCTATATCAACGAGATCTCCAAGACTGTATCTGCTATACTCTCTCTCGCTATAGTCGATGGTATGTCTCGTAATGCCATTAGCCTAAAGATGCGCCTGATTACCAAGAACCTCCAGAATGGCTTATCGCAGGGGATAGAAGAATTCTGGGAGCCCCATCCTGACGAAGATGGCAATCCTGGATCGGAAGTATTTGAGGCAACTGAAGTCGATGAGCCAGTATCTATCGACTGGGAGGTCTACAGATATGGATGGGGGTATGGCCGTCAAAGTACGGCAGTATACTTCGCCATCACAGCTCTTTTCATCCACGTGGCATTGGTACTTGTATTTGGCGTCTATATAGCCATGTTCTGGGTAAGTGGGGAACGACCTGGCAAGTCTCGAGATACGATATCCGAGTTTGTCGCGTTGGCATTGGCCTCTCCATTGACAGGTGATAACGCCTCAGAAGTGAGAAGACTGGCAAATGGCGAGGAGGAAGAGAACGAGGGTAGCAAACTCTTGACGCTGCCGATTAAACTTGGGATGAATGATGAGAACGAGAGAATTTTATTAACTTAGGCTCAAGCCCAGCGTCTATAAACTCAATAGAGCAAGTATATTCAAAGCAAACACATTAGGCAAGGCGTCTAGAAGAGAATTAATTCAAGTCAAATTCATAAGATCGTGTATATAATATGTCCAAATTCAGTGTACCGATGAGACGATATAATCTGGAGTCCAACACTTTGGAAAGGCCATTTAACGATTGGATCACTGCTACACTTTTGTTTCCTTCTACACCTTACAGCCATATTTTATTACTATTGCTCTACATATCATGAACATTCTATCATGAACATCCACGTCCCCTTCATTTCACCAAATTGAGGAGAGGCTGAGCTATAAAACAAATTCTTGTCATCTGAAAGACTACGACTTATCGACTCTAACACTTGAACTTCATAGACTTCCACTCGTCTCCAATGTTGAAGCAATCATAGAGGTTGAGGCCTTTCTCAGAATAGCCCACACAGTTTTTCTCCCTGTATCTGATCACTAGAGCGGGAGCTGGTAAGCGGGCGTTAATATCGTGTTCACAAGTTTGATGACTCACTATGACAGCTGTTTTTCTTTCTCGCGTCCATGCTGACGGCATGGTCTTTACCAGCTAGGTCTTTGATGCAATGCCCACTCTGGAAGCCTTTTTTGGATCGCTCGGTTTTGCATGTAGTTTGTTTCCAGAATCTAGCCGTGACGTCGGCTGCGCGGCTCTCCAGGTGGGACTCTAGACCTTCGGGGAGGGTTTCGATGGGGTTGGCTAGGCCCGGAGCAGCGAGGAGAGCAATGGCTGCGGTGGTGAAGACGTTGAAAAGCATGTTGGGTAAGAAGGATCGATATACAAGTCTAGAAGGTGGTGTTTGGATGAGGATGAAAACGGAAAGATTAAGAGAATCATTGAGATACTTATAGTCGCTATGTCCTGCGAGAGGGATCGTTATCAAGCGTGATTGCCTTTCCTACTTAACACATTTAACATGATGTGGCAATCAATATTACTACGCCGCTTCTCTGCAAGTATGCGGTGTGCTCTCGTGTCCATTCAATGCAAGAGTGTCACCATTTGCGATTTGCTAGCTTCCGGATTGATACGGCCCCCAAACAAACGTCCCCGAGGCCTCAAGACTGGATAATAATGGTGTCTGCAATTGGCAGTCCTTTTAATCGGCTCATATAAACCGGCATGAACGGCACCCAAAAGATAGCAGTCTCAATGCAGCTGGGGAATGCTCCATATATCCCACACTTTTTGTCTATCTGAAGGTCTAGAACTCAAGACAAACAGGCTATTTGGAACCACTGAGTGAGAAGATGTAGATATACTGAGTGAACCGGCATTGCTTGAACTGAGAATCAGGATTTGATTCATAATAAGAATGAGGCTCGTTACTGTTTTCACACTGATTTATTGAAGAGGTCACTCGAGGGATGCGCTGAATAATGATGAATGCATGAACTCGTTAACACTGACAAGAAAACAGAGGCCCAAGGCGATGATAGAACCTCAGCCGCATGGCACGTACCAATCACAACATAGGAAGGGCTCGTAAATTTAGCTGAAAAGATCCGACCGAGACAAGGATCACCCAGCTTCGGAGTTATTACCCCTTGCAAGGAACTCCAATTGGGCTTTCATTTGATGAATTACCCGAAAGATGGTCTGAGCCAACCTGTATGGCATTGGGGGCGGAAATGAAAGTCTAGGCTGAGGACAGAGGTGTATAGAAAAGCATGGTGATAGGTGCGGCTTCAGCATGTAGCCTTAAGCTGAATGAGGAATGATAAGTGAACTTGACATAGGTTTTTGGTTTATGTTAGCTGATGTTTTTGCTTTTGTGGATGGTTGATCAATGAAGGGCAAGATTTAGGTAGTAGGTCTGGTGGCAAATAGTAAGACCTCTTCGACTCACTCTCAGGCTCGATGATCGTCCTTGGCAGTCTTTTCAATCACATCTAGATCTACTGTCCTGCATTTGGCCTGAATATTTTAACAAACTCGGTTGCGCCCGTCACAGACGGAGCAGACGTCCCCGCCGGAGGGACACCGGGGACGGGGGCAGGGACAAATACCTCCCTGCAGCCAAGACGGCTACATCGGGTTCCGCGCTTTGTTTAACTGCAACCTAAGAGCACCTTCGGGAACTTTTGAGTACGTGTATCAAGAGGTTCAGCAAGGCAAAGTCTGAGGGGCAGAAAAGCCGAGTTAAAGTAAATCTCATGATATTCATTATCTAAAAATTCCAAACAGATATTAAGCTGTCTTTAAAGCCTCGGTCCTTGAAAGGCTGTTAGGATCGAGGTAAGGCTTCTCGCCAATGCCGACAGCCCTGTGACCCGTGCGCTCACCAAGACCATCATAATCATTCGTCGCGCTGTGGAATGCACTGCGGTTATCCCAGAATGCTAGACATCATTAGCGTAATCCTCAACCCTTTTGAAACAGAGTACCTACCAATATCGTTGGGACTTCTCCAACGGAAGCGAACCTGCAGATCATGGTTCTGCTCAATCCTCTTGTAGAGCGACTCCAAGATCTCTCTGCTCTCACGCTCGCTCAGCTCATTAATGCGCTTGGGGAAGTTTCCAATCGCAAAGATAGACTTCCATCCCGTGACGGGATTTGTTCGAACAACGGGGTGAATCGCCTTGAGCTCATCGCCAATGTTGGCGGGATTTCCTCGCGGTTCCTCGTAGACCTTGTAATGATCCGGTCTCGCATCTCGCGCCCTCAAGAACCCTTCGCCAGAAAACGTAGCAGTCAAGCCCTCAAAGAACTTTCTGTAGGGGTCGCTAAATCGATCATATAGCTCATATCCCGAGGCCCAAAGGGTATCGCCACCTCCAGCAGGGAGCTTTGTGAGCCGCAGACTCGTGTAGTCAGCTGGATACTGCTCGAATTGGATATCGCTGTGCCAGCTTGCAGCGCCTTGCTTTCTATCATCACGATCTTTGATTCTATCCTGGAAGAACTCCACGTTTGACGAAATAACGCTGATCTCATTGTCGTCTACGCCGAATTCATTGGTGCTGTTGAGAAGAGGGTGGATATGGAGAGTTGAGTCCTTGGGCTTGTTGGTTAGTTGGCCGAGACGGTGGACGAGTTGCTTGTGCTGTTCGTCTGTGAGGTTGTCTTGGGCGCGGAAGAAGACGACGCCGCGTTGGGAGACTGAGATGTTAGCGATGAGTTTGGGGGTTGGGGAGAAAACGTACTGGTGATGGCGAGATCGCGGATTAGTTCGTCGGCATTGGGTGCGTTGATGATATCGTCAACGAGATTGACTTTGGGATATTCGCGTCCGATGACGGGGGTTGACTCTTCGAATGTGAACTTGTCAAGGGCTCCCGATGCCTTGAGAGGCTCTGGGTACTTATTCGCCTCGACATTGAGCGGCACGATGCGCTCAGCCTGTTGGATGATGGTAGCAGTAGCCGACATGTTGAGCTATGTTTGACCTGTCTTAATGGAACAATGCTAATCCTCAGGGACAGAAGACAGTATTTGCGTGGCTCTATGCTTCTCTTATATACAATAACATCAGTCCCCACTACGCGTTATCAGATCGCACAATCCGTCATTTTACTTACGACATCCCGATTGACCTCGCTAACCCCGCAAGAACAGGTACGCACACAGTCTAGTGAGTCATGCCGTTGGTCTTGCGCTTTCATCATGGTCGATGGTGTCACTTTAGCTTGCGAATCCATTGGATAGTGAGACCGCAGCTACGCTTGCGATAACGTTGTTTCATCCGCATCATCGGTCGACAACCGATTCGGATCTCGGAGTCTCTCGGATCTCGTTCCATTATTGATCTCATTGGATGATCGGAGTCGAGGAGCTTCTTTGAGCTCCGAGATATCGGTTGTCGCAAGCATTTGACTCGATCTTGTCATCCTCGTACTCGCTCATGAATGTACTTTCGTATTAGGTGACAGACGCTTACAATTTCGCCATGTCTCGTCTATCCGACAGGCCGAGCAAATTATTCCTTTCAAGCCCAAAGCCATGTGATCAGCTCGGTTTTCTTTGCATTTTGGGTAGATCGATGGGATTTCGGGATGGCGTGCTAGCTTGTCAAATCCCCGGGATTGCACGTTATCCACTTCGTCATCAGAGCCTTGGATGGTGAAATGCGGAGGTCTCCATCGACTTAGTGCAATGATAAGATCAAAATGGGCCAATTTCTCTGGTAAGAATGATCAAAGTGGCAATTTCTCATTTGCATTTAGCGTTTTACAGAGGATAGATTGCGCACTGAGCTTGAAGACAAATGAAAATGAGCTTGAGATTGTTGACTGTTTACCTTGACTCCATTGAGAAGATCACAGCGATGAATGCACAGGCAGAACATATAATTTCTCACGACTAAGTAGTTCAATAAATTAGTAAGCTAAGGAAAAATACTTTAATCAGTTGTAAATAATTGTATTTGGCATTATTTTGATCTGTTGAGATAACTCAATGAACAAGTTTAGGGTAGCTGGGTATGATACTAGACAAGAGCTTTACCACATCCTTATCGATAAGAGTATGCAACATCTCCAGAGACTCCCCTCGTCTGCCTTAGCGTTGCAGCATACGGCGCAAAGTTCTTCCGCCCCTGACCGGAGGCGGAGAACCAGCCGCCTCCTCCGCCTGACATCCGCCCCGCAGCAAAGATTTCCCAGTGTGACACACAAAACAGGCAGGCATGGAATCTGCGAAGCGGAAGCGAGCCGCCAAGGCCTGCAATTACTGCAGAAAGAGGTGTGTCAATATGGCTAAAGAAGCGACAGGGTGCTAATCGACGCAGGAAGAGGAAATGTGATGGCAGACAGCCGGTTTGTACCCTCTGCGAAGAGGCGAATAACTCCGAGTGCGAGTATCGCGATGAAGGAAATGAGTCAAAGTGAGTTTCATTCTCATAAGTTGTTATGCAAGGCTGACTTGGTTAGGCGAATTGCAATCCCTGTTGATCGCGTTGATGAGATCTTTGATCGTCTTGAATCTCTTGAATCGACCTTTCAGTCTGCTATCGCTCGCCAACGAGATCGAAGTCCCATCTCAACACCTTTCCCAGCATCGACTCCTTACCCAGTCTCAACACCTTATGCACCATATCCCATAACACGACATAACGAACCAATAAGTCCTGAGGATGGAATAGTACCTGCCTCATCAGTCCACTCAACAGGACCTGGGACACAAACATCGCTTTCTCAATTCGCCAATAACAATGTCTTCAACACGACGATGGACATACCACTTTCTCACTCATCCACAACGGGGAACTTACTCAGATCTGCGCCGGCGAAAGCACTGCTGGGACACTATCCTTCAGATCTTTTTCTCCATATTGAGTTGAGAAGACCCATCCCTGAAGGATTGAGATTGAACGCGGAACCAGCGAGTCAAATCGACCTACCGACGTTATCACCCAACGAAACAGATCATCTCGTGAGAAACTACTTCCAACTCGTTCATCGCTTCCATCCAATTCTCGACCAGCGAGCTTTTTACGATCTATACGACAGAACCGTCGACCATGGCGCACGGCCTGATCTCCCGTCTTCCCTGGTCCTCGTTGTTCTCGCACTAGGTTCTGTTGCTGCTGAGACGCCGAATCGTATGGATGCAAGTTGGAGCCCTGGAGTAAAATTCTTCACACCCGCTGTGAGGTTGTTACTCACGGAGTCGTTATGCTCGTTCGGTGGTGATCCTTTGTTGCCGCAGGCGTTGTATCTCGCTGCGCTGTACTATAGCTATTTGTCGAGGCCGCTGCTTGCGTGGAGGTTGGTGCACATGGCGTCAACTGATGTTCAGCATTATTGGATAAGGTGTGTATAGCTGTGGTCGTAATTTAGTGCTGTATTGACTTGCCAGGTCCGAGAAGTTGCTGCGAGATGGTTCGCAAGACCAGTCAATTCTACGAGTCTTTTGGGCTATCCTCGTGCTCGAATGGTAAGTCAGCCCGCCTTACGTTATAAAAGCCTTCTCTAACTATCGTTAGTGACATTTTGGCAGAGCATCATCTCCCTCGCAGTGGCATCGAGAAGATCGTCGATAAACTCCCCTACCCGTGGTCCGATGGTCCCTCCGAACCTTATATGCATCGCTGGCTCGCCGATCTCTCGTCCCGGCGCCTCTTAAATCGCATTCACTACGTCCTCTACGCAGAAGCTGAACCAGGTACGGGCGATAACCAAGCTGATAACTCTGAAGAGACACAGTCAAGTCTCCCAAATCTAGCCCACGAATTGAATCGTCAGCTGGGTGCATGGTACCATCTCCTCCCTCATAGTATCCGTCCAAATCTTGAGATCCCCCCGATAGGCATTGATGATACCATGGTAACTATACGATATCACACTACAGGTGATATTATCTACAGGCCTTTTCTGTATCAAGTTTGCGCTCTCGCACCAGGGACGCAGCCGAACCCCGCCACGCTCGAGAATGCGCGACAATGTCTGGTCCACTGTCGTAGATACCTCAATGCAGTCGAATTTGCAGTGCACGCGCCGACTGCATCTTTGGAGAATCTCTTACATGGGTACGTCTACGACAAAGTGCAATAACAATTACTAACAAATGCAGGACCATGGCAGTAGTATTGCTCCTCTCATTCGCAGCCTTCTCAAGATTAGATGCCCTCAGAGTCCCAGATCTCAACCAATTACAGGACAAGGGAATCAGGATCTGCGAAAGATGGGCGTTTCCAGGATCGAGTATAGAGCAAATGGTTGTAATTCTGCGCGCCCTCCGAGCAAAATGCATCGATACAGGATGAAAGCAAACTCTATAGAAAATAACACCAATACAGAAGTTTACCCAATCTGGTGTCATAGTTGTGCATATCCGGTCCCGGAAATGGTCAATCCAAAGGCGAGGTCCATTGATTTTTGACATCAAGGGCGCGCGCTAGTCTTCGTCGGAAGCAGGGCCGAGACCCGTGGCGAGATCATTCCAGAAACCATTCGTTCAGATCTGCATGGTTCACCTCTGGACTCGGGGAGTTTATCTAAGTTGGAACTGTTCAAGTATTTTAAGCCGCGCAGCCAAGCCTAATTTTTAAGATCCGGAATCTGCAGATCCACTCATCGCCAACTCCTCCAATATCTACCCCGTCTACACGTATTTATTACTCAATCGTTATCCTTAGCTGCGTTGCACCAATTTGTCCATCATGACTGCCAAGGACTCCCAGCAGCCTCACAAAGAAGTCATCATCAAGCCTGCAACACTCACTGATGCTGCTCGCATCGCAGAGCTAGGCGCACATGTCTTTACAATAACATTCGGCCATTCCGTCGAGCCCCACGAACTCAGTGCTTTTCTCGAAGAATCCTATACAGAAGCATCCATCATCAACGACTTGAACGACACAAACAAAGATGTTATCATCGCGACAAACACCGACGATGACTTTCTCGGTTTCGCATATCTCACCCGCGGAAGCAGTGAACCCTGCGTAGAAAACCTGGAAAAGACCGTTGAGTTACAGAGGATTTACGTACATCCTGATTCTCATGGCGCCGGTGTTGGAAAGGCTTTGGAGAAGGCTATCGAGAGTATGGCGAAGGAGCAGGGGTTCAAAAATTTGTGGCTTGGTGTTTGGGAGGAGAATCCGAGGGCGATAAGGGCGTATGAGAAATGGGGATATAAACAGGTCGGGGATCATGATTTCACTATTGGGTCTATTGTTCAAACTGACCATATCATGGTTAAGAGTTTGTAGTTGCACTAATCAGAGGTATTGAATCATGGGTTGATGAATTTGGCGTTAAATAGTGGGCTTGAAATATGGCATCTAGATAGACAGGTTAGACTAGAATCAATTAGCTTCTTTATGATAAACATTCTTTCAATCATGTCTCGTCTCTCAATGGCTTTCGGTGTTCAAGACCGAGAAATTGTGACTCGGTTGATAATTCTGCATTCAAGCGTTTTCGACCCTCGGAAGCAGGTCCGATAACGCTAGGTGAATGACCAATGACAAACCCCTCGGCTCCAATTCGCTCTAGACCTTGCTGAGAATGACTGTACCTGTGATTCGCCGACCTAGACCGGCCCGGTCGATGTGAACGACGCCCTCTCACTGGGGCGGCCCGCCCACTCCGCCAAACCTTTATTACTTGTGATATCCTTTCATTCTACACTGGCGTCAAGACTTCAATGTCCCCCTTTGATATAAACTATTACGGTAACACAAGGCATACCCGACATACTAAACATGTATATCCGCGCCGCCCACGCTGAAGCAGACCTCCGCGTCCTTCGCCGTCTCATCCACGAAAACCCCCTTGGAATGCTCACAACCGGCATAAAATCCCAAACCCACTCCTTTCTACAAAGCAGTCACATCCCTTTCCTTCTCGACGTAAAAGATGAATCCAGTGAAACAGAACTCGGTCGTCTCCGCGGGCACTTGGCTCGTCAAAACCCCCAAAGCAAAGCCATGATCGAACACTGCACCTCCAACCCCTCTCTCAAAAACTATCTCGAAGACGAAGTCCTAGTGATCTTCACAAAGCCAGCTCACCACTACGTCACCCCCAAGTTCTACACCGAGACGAAACCAGCGAATGGAAAAGTGGTGCCGACGTGGAATTACGCCGCGGCGCAGGTTTATGGAAAGGCGAGGATTTACTATGAGAATAATGAAGAGACCTCTTCGTTTCTCGGGCAGGCAATTAGTGATCTTACGGATCATAATGAGAGGGGTGCGATGGGGGATACGGCTGAGAGTCAGTGGAAGGTGTCTGATGCGCCGGAGAAGTATGTTGAGTTGTTGAAGAGGAATATTATTGGCATTGAGATTGAGGTTACCAAGTTGGAGGGCAAGTTCAAGATGAGCCAGGAGATGGGACACGGGGATAGGGAGGGTGTTATCAAGGGGTTTGAAGGACTAGGGACGGAAGTTGGTGATGAGATTGCGAGGGTTGTTAAGGAGCGTGGGGAGTTGAAGGACCAGAAGAAGTGATTTCAAGGGGCATGGAAAGCTGATGAGCGTCTCTAAATGTAAAGTCAGTATATTAATGCTTGAATTGAGCTTTTTATATACTCGGGATGAAGTATTGACCAATATCCTGGTATCTTGTTAGGGCGAGAATGTTAATAGTTTATTTCAGGACCAATCACTGCCTTCGGATTATCAAACCATGTAAACATTTGATGTAAGTAAATCAACTAGGAGAAGACTAGCATTGATGCAACATAACTGCATATTAAGAAAGAGCAGCATTGAATACAAGCAGGGTTTACTTACATCATTACTTGTAATAAGCCAGCGGAGTTTTACTGGCCGAGTATACCATTGCGGCATTTTCATCCTTCGAACCTATAGAAAACGGCCACGTCATTACCCCTCTTCTCATTATCATATCATGGGTTACTTTCACCTAATCCTGATGTCCGTAATCTTTTTATAACTAATCTAAACTAGCATAGCTGCTAGCTAGGAGATATAAACTCTCAAGATGTCGTATTGTGCGGTTTGTCAGCGCTCTGTTATGTACTTCTTCCTGGATGCCGACGCTCGTCAGGATCTAAAATATGCCCTAGACTTGGAACCCTTCTACCTATTACGGGAATTCGGGCGTGTTGGTGATGAGTCTCATGAGCCACGTTTACACAGGTTCCAACACTACGACTCTATTTCTGAGTTACAAAAGTCTGCACTTTCTTGCGAGCTATGCTCGTTGATGCTTCCCTTCCTCCTCGGAAATCCTATCATCGACCATAATAAAGATCATCTCTATACCAGTCTTGCCATAAGACGTCGAGGTGCTATTTATCTCCTTCGATGGGCACATCATACATCGACTTGGGAAAACGCAGAAACACCCCCTCTGCCTGTTTATAACAGGATCAGCGACTTCTACTTTTTTGACATCGCATTTCCATCAGACCGATATGGTCACTATGATTCATCCGTCACTAGTCTAGCTCGCCTAGTCCCGTTGTCAAAATTTCAATACTACTACCTAATCACCAGACGCAAGAATGATCCTAGGTGGTCGCCCTGGATTGCCTTTGCTCAGCCACACGGCAAGTTCTTGATAAAGCAATGCTGAGTGGCGCACTAACATAGTATCACCTCAGCGTTGATTGCAGAACGAGCTATCTGGGCTACAGATCACATCAAATTCGAGGCAAGAGTTGAGACGATTCAGAACTGGCTTGATACTTGCTTGACTGATCATGAGGAATGCCGTATGCCAAAAGTTCTTCGTCCAGCACGGTTCCTTGCCCTTCATACGGGTGCAGATGATGGAGATCTCCGACTAGTCAGTACAGCCAACCTGTCCCAGTTGAACCGAGTCAGATACACAGCTTTAAGCCATTGCTGGGGCTCGAGTACCAATCACGCAGCACGCACTACTCGGGAGAACGTCCATCAAAAGATGAAACGGATCTCGTTTCATTCTCTTCCGAAAACCTTTCAAGACGCGATTACAGTAACCAGAGCAATTGGTATAGAATTTATTTGGATTGACTCTCTCTGCATTATCCAGAATGATGACGATGATTGGGCGACTGAGGCATCCAAAATGGCCGATGTCTACAAAGGAAGCTGTTTGACCCTAGCGGCTTCTTCGTCGCCGGACTCAGATGGAGGGTTGTTTCTGGACTCCATAACCCCGGCGAAAGTTGTGCACTTATCCCCTGACTTGTTTCCCCGGGAATTTGAAGAAAAGTTTCCTAAAAACTGCTTGGTTCGTCATCCAGTGGCTTCAAGAGCAGCGATACTCGACGGACCACTCAGCAAGAGAGCATGGGCCCTTCAAGAGCAGATTCTGTCGACTCGACTCATTCATTTTACCAGTACCCAGATGTTCTATCAATGCACAGATGGGCTGTCCTCAGAAGATGGTAATATCTATGACAAACTATCGAAGCTACCTAGCCCGGTGCACTTTATGGACACCATCAAATTCCCATCAAAGAGGCCTTCCCCTTGGTCCAGGTGGGTAACCGAGTTCAGCGCCCGTCATCTTAGCTTCGATAGTGATAGGATAACTGCTATGGCTGGTTTAATCAAACACTACGAGCACATATCGCTTCAACGACCCATTCTGGGTCTATGGGACGGAACTTTTTGTACTGATATGGCCTGGTACAGCTATACACTAGTGGACAACAAAGCTCGCCATGATGATGATGTCTTCAAAGGGTAAGCGCAGCAAAGAAGATCCTCATAGAATGGTCAACGTTAACAAACCCTGCCAGCATTCCAAGTTGGACCTGGTTCTCATCCAAAGCTAAGCATATCCACAACTTGTTTGACGATCTGGATACTTACGATCAAGGTTTTCCTCCTGAGGAGAACCGCGTCAAGCTGGTTCACTATAGTTGTGATTGGACGGGACCTCCATATGCAACATCATTGAAAGGGGCGGACCTGAGAGTATTAGGTTCCCTTAAGGCTGTTAGACTCCAGCATCCAACAAATGCCAGTTTGCCTTTTCTCGACGGCGACAATACATTCGACACCAGACAAGGTTCTGAAAACGGGCAACCGCCTGGGCTGTTGTTATATCTCGACAGTGTGAAAATAGACTTTGATCAAGATCGATTGTTTCTTCTCCGCCTTTTTACGGTCAGCCTTAAGGATAGTATTTCTGACCTGGACGATGTTGTCTTGTTACTGCGGGAAGAAAGTCATAACAACAAAGCGGCATTTCGTCGACTGGGTGCGGGTCATCTAGCTAGACCTCAGCCTGAGCCGGTTAGTCTCTTCAGTACTACTCGTCTGAACTGTTTGGATGAGCCAATGGATGAAGAAAGCCTCGATGAGTTGTTCAAAAAACCAGAGGCTCCACCAGCATTTTTTGACGATGCTCCCGTTCAAGAAGTTATACTAGTATAGTGGTGTTTGGAGGAGTGAACAATTAATACACGATTCTTCACGTGTTGCTGAGAGAGCTTTCATGGAGGTAATGTCCTGGTGGTGTTTCGATCATTAGTCGCTGCGTGAGTCGGCGTCTAAATTCAATGAGTCCGCCTTGAGCTCATCCGGCCTGCGCAGTGTGACACTGTCATGAGCCTGTCGCAGGATCTGCATATTTCTTTCGAACGACGGGTACAAAGCAGGCCGCGATAAGAACACAACCGAACAGAGATTTTTGATGTATGTTGAAATAACATATCTTTACTCCATTTTCTAGGAGGAGCCACTACTCCAATTGACCCCATCGTGAAGGGCACTTCCGGCATCATCGCCTTTTACCTAATCACCGAACAACCCAGTAACTTACCTCGGCACTGTCAAGCAGCACAAGATAAGCTTGTCACAAATGCAAACACCAATAACCGTATATTCCCGACTATGGGGCCCCATGGGCTGCCAACCGCTCCAATAACAGTGCCATTCTCGCGGTATCGTGAAGCCGACCATCGACTTTCGATGTTACGCGTCGTTGTCGGGCCTTTTATCATACCATAGAAAACGCAGATCGTCAAGTGACACACTCTTAAAGATTTCATTGACGAATTGTTCAAAACGCTGACAGCCCTACGGATGACTCGGCATTCAGGTACACCACGATGCGAACACGAAGAGAAATTTGTGTAGGGTAAGAAAGCGGCATACCACCACGCTAGCAAATTAAATTCCCCGACGATGACATGATACAGTATGTCCACCAAAACAAATTGTTATTGACTCGTGGGAACTGAATGCAAACGGTTGCTTAGATAAACGGACTGGGGATTGGGGAAGCACGTGGAATTAAGTTACGCTTTAGGTAAAATTACCAGCATGAAAACTGGTTTTCTGGGGAAGTTCGTTAAAATTTCTTAACAATGTTGACGGGACAGGATTGCCTATGACGCAGTGGCGCTGGGAATACCGGACATCCGGACGCGGCTGAAGGATACATGCATCCCACGTCCCATGACAGACAAACAGACAAATACAGTGACAGTGACCATGGAGAATGGGGAACACGGGGTATGGAGAAATAAGAAAAGATAAAAGTGCTTTCGGCCGAGGCAGGGCCGTTCGGAGACGAAGAGCGGGTAATTGTTCAAGGTACGGTATCTAGAAGTTCTTGGAAGTGTCGTGGTACCTGGAGATTCTATGGAGAGAATGGATGAGATCGTCGGGTTCTGAGAGGGATTGAGATTGGCGTCATTGCTTCGCATGCCAAGATTTGTATGGGAGATCGGCAAACGGGGCTTGGCAGCTCAGACAAGAGATTTTGACGGCTGGGCGATAATCTACTGTCTCACAGAAGAGTTTAACGGTGAGATCTGAGTGTAGAGATGTGTAGAACCACAGCTCGATTGACCTTGAGCCAGAGTCAATCTCGACATGAGAATGTCATGAACTGATGCTCATTGAATCAATTGTCATGGTCTCTCCGGATCCCTCGGGTGTCGTCATGTTTTGATGGTCAACCAAATCCAGAATAGTACTGAACAGGGGTTAGTGTCACTAACGCTCCCAACCAAAGCTGCCATCCAAGCCATCACGGGGACATTTCCCCCAATCAGAAGTGCTGGGATCAATGCATTACAGCGCTGTTTCAGTTGATTTTGCAGCCACTACAAAATCCCAAAAGCCATATCGTCATACCAAACAGACACCGTCCCTTTGATGCCATGAGGTGTCAGAGGTGAGATGTCTCGGGCTTTCCCCAGCTTTACAACCCCGTGGAGGTGGTACCCCGTTACCCATTATTCACCCCATTACCCAATTATTGACCCATTGTCTGCATTCCCCTTGTTCAACCCCACAGAATTGGTAGAAGCAAAAAAATGGGACGGACCGATTTCGTGGTCTCGAGACCAGGACAGCCAGGATGGGCATCGGAGTGCGGCTCATTGGACGCCTGTTTTTCAGGCCTGACATCACGAAGTATCACACTTTTTGGTTTATAACGTCATTCTTGATCAGTATGTATTTAAATCCTCGACACCCTCCATTTCGTCAAGTAACTCAATCACCAATTGACTTTGGATCATCACTAGATTCCTACTACTACACATTATTACCATTTAGAAGTGCTTGGATTAGGACTGCCCATCATGGCGCCGTCCTTCCTCACTGTCCATTTCGATGACCAGAATCCAAACTCTGAAAAGGGAAAAGAGGCTGGTGCGAGGAGATCTCTCGCTGGCCTCGATTACTCGCCTTTGCCTCGCATCACGCCCCGATCTTTTCTCCTAGCTACCTTTGTCTCCATGGGCGGTCTTCTGTAAGTTACCCAGCCGCTCTACTCTTCAACAGGAACTGACGGGAGCAGCTTCGGTTATGACACAGGTCAAATCTCAGGCTTCCTCGAGATGCCAGATTTTCTCGATCGTTTCGCCCAAACAAACAGCAAGGGAGTAAAAGCATTCAGCACTGTCCGCTCAGGTCTCATCGTCGCGCTCCTCTCAATCGGTACGCTCATGGGCGCACTGATCGCAGCGCCTGTAGCCGACCGCATTGGTAGAAAGTACAGTATCTCTGGCTGGACGTGGATCATTGCTATTGGCTTCATCATCCAGATTTCCTCAGACCGGGATTGGGTGCAGATCATGATGGGCCGATGGGTCGCTGGTCTCGGAGTCGGCGCCCTCTCGCTGCTCGTTCCCATGTTCCAGGGCGAGACTGCACCGCCGTGGATTCGAGGTGCAATGGTTTGTTGTTATCAGCTCTTTATTGTAAGTGGCACAATTCTTGGCATGCCAAGTTTCCTGTTCCGACGATCTGTGGGGAAAAAAGTGTCAAGGATTGCACTGACATTTTTTGCTTAGACGATGGGTATTTTCTTGGCTGCGTGCTTCAACTACGGCACTGTAACGCACCATCCCGACAGCTCAGCATCCTGGCGCATCGTCATCGGCGTAGGCTGGGTCTTCACTCTCGTTCTCGGCATTGGAATTCTGTTTCTGCCCGACACGCCCCGTTTCGACTACCGCAATGGCAAGGTTGATCGCGCCCGCGAAACCCTCTGTAAAGTCTACGGCGCGACGCCAAATCACTGGGCGATCCATACTCAAATGGAAGAGATCGAGTCCAAGCTCCGCGCCGAGAGTCACATCAAGCAGAACCCCGTCCAAGAGTTCGTCGGCATGTTTAAAGCACCGCGCATGGCCTATCGCATTTTCATCGGAATGTCGCTTCAGATGTTTCAGCAGCTCACTGGTGCGAATTACTTCTTTTACTACGGTACTACCATCTTTCAGTCTGTGTCTATCAACAGTTACAAGACGCAGATTATTCTGAACACGATTAACTTCCTGGTTACGTTTATTGGATTGTATATCGTTGAGCACTACGGTCGGCGCAAGTCGCTTATTGCGGGAAGTACTTGGATGTTTATCTGCTTCCTTATCTTTGCATCTGTCGGTCATTTCTCGCTCGATCGCAATGATCCCACCAAGACGCAAGGTGCGGGTATTGCTATGATTGTCTTTGCTTGTCTTTTCATTCTGGGTTTTGCTACGACTTGGGGTCCTATGATTTGGACCATCATGGCTGAGATCTTCCCCTCGCGATATCGTGCCAAGGGCATGGCTCTCTCAACCGCTAGCAATTGGCTTTGGAACTTCCTCCTCGCTTTCTTCACGCCTTTCATTACGAAAGATATTGACTTCCGATACGGATACGTCTTTGCAGGATGTAACGTCCTGGGCGGTCTACTCGTCTACTTCTTCGTCATTGAAGGACAGGGACGTACTCTGGAGGAGATTGATACCATGTATCTTGAAAAGGTGAACCCTATCAAGAGTGCCAAGTGGGTTCCTCCTCCTCCTGAGGAGATGTCGAGGATTAGGAAGCAGGCTGGTACAGATATCGAGACTGCTGTTCCTGCGGCGTCTAGTGACGACGAGACGCTTGCTAGACCGTCGGGTGTCACTGATGGTGGAATGGGACATCATAAGGAGGAGCATGCTGGAATTACCCACCGAGAGTAAGGGTTGGTGGTGATGAGATGAGATGGGGATTCATGATGAGTGATGTTGGAGACGAGATTGCATGATACCTACGACCTGTTCTTATTGTTCATAGTCAAATTTACCGTACTTATACCTGATCACTTCTTTGGGAATGTGCATCTAAGCCTGGCCCTCATTAGACACCTGAACTGTTTGAAGGTTACATGCTAGCGGGGTTAAGAAAAGATTCAGCCTCATCATAGAGGTTAAGGGCACAGGGCAATAAGCGCCCTGCCTTATCGTGCCATCGAGTCGGGCTGTTGAATACTCGAAGCTCCAGGCAGTCGCAGTCTTCTCAGCACCTGAATGATTCACCTTCCTTCACGGTCATTGCACTCACCCACTGCAACTTCCATCACCCGCCATTCACCCCTGATGGAAAGAAAAGCAACAGTTTCCCTTCATCTCCATTTTGATCCGAACATCAAATAATTCCAACATCATCATCAGCTCATAGTCTGCCACCGCTATCAAATATCCATCGTCATTACGAACGAAACTTTTACTATTGACCGACCGCGCGATCTTCAACTGCATCAACAACGTCGACTCAACGAACTGCTCCATCATCCTCTCTCATCATCCATTTTCAACATCCCCACCAATATCATCAGCATCGACAATCTGCACCCGTACACTACCAACATGTGTCAAAAGTCCAGCTACGAATTGTGCTGTGAGAACTGCAACAAGAGAGTCATCATCTAGGTTGTGACCCATCAAGCATGCAGCGGCAAGCCCCCAGTGAAGATGACCAAGGCCGAAAAAGAGAAACGCAAGAGTAAGGGCCATGAGGTACCCTATCGAAAAGACGGATTCATATGCAAGCGCAGAATACGACCTTACACTCGACACCGGGACTTGGTCGGAATGCACGCCTGCTGGCATTGCAGTCTTTCCAGTCTAAAGACACAAGCCGAGGAAGACCTGCAAAGACTTCTTGCGGATGAAAACCGAACGGAAATGGAGGTGGAGCGTAAAAGAAACAGGATACAAGAGCTGAAGAAGCAAATTATGGATACCGGGCGCCCCCAAAAGGAGGACACGTTGACACTGCCCAAGCAATTGAAAGTCGACAAGGAGGGCTAGTTACCTGATGCACTGGCCAAATCGGATCCTAAAGTCCAGAAAGCTCTTGAGTGGTTGGGCAAACGACATCCTGAAGTCGAGGAACAGCCAAAAGACCCGTCCGCCTCGCCCTCAGCCGATTTGCCCACTACGAGTGATCGAGAGCCTTCTCTCCCTGCAGCGACAAACAAGGGGAAGGGGAAAGCGGTTGCGAAAACAGGCGTGTTGGATGTACCATCCGAGGCTTCTAGGTCTTCTCCGTTCCCTGGAGCGGACCGTACCTCTGATGCTGAGATGGAGGATGCGGATAGCAATGAGGTGGCGGCTACGGAACCAGCCGACGAGACGGCTCTTGCAATAGCCGCAATCACTTCGGCCGAGGCGTCTCGTGAAAGAGCCGAAGTCATTTCGGCTTTGCGTCGATTCTGGAGGTGGAGTGATCGATTGTAATACATGACAGAAGCTAGCGGTGTCAGGATGGCGATTGCCCTGGTCGTGCGTGATACTGTCGCCGCTATCCTTGGATCACAGTAGTTGTGATGGAGGATGAATGAGTGCTGGACAGGAATGGGGAATGCAGCATAGAGTATCGAACCAATGGGTGTGGGTAAAGAGTAAGGAATGTGGTTCACACAGAGAATGATAGTTGATAGGGAATATGACCATGTTGTCGTTTCGTCGCACCAGGCCAAAGAGTTTGCTGATGGCGGTTCTTCACACGTAAAAGCCTCTAGTACCGACAGATCACAGTAAACCAAACCGAAATATTGTGAAATAAAAAATCAGGTCATACTCTGGAGTGATTCAATATGTTAGCTTCACATTATGCTTTATGTCAAGATGCCGCAGCATCATGGAGCATACATTATGTTACCAGTAACAACGGTATGGCTAAAGTCATCAGCATTCAAGCTGGCGAATCATTGACGTTGAGTTATAAACTCCCCCAATGTGAAAGCCTCCATGCAAAAGTTTATATTGGGAAAAAGACATGTCGTGTTCTCATTCATCACCTGTATTTGCAGCCTAAAGCTTAACCTTATAGGCCGAGTCATCTACATAGTCTATAGTCAACTACAAGTACTAAACTCACGATTAGATGTTTCTGATGAGGTCGGTCGTGCTGTATTCAGATAGCCGAGGACAAAGAAGTGAGAGACCTTGTAGGTGAACATACAGCACTTTTACAGTGAACAACACGCGGGTGACGCCTCGGGTCAGTGAACATGCGACTTTAACGACATTGGATAAAGAATGTGCCTTTAAAATGCCCTCAAAGACTGTGATAAGGATACACTTCTTCCCGCAAACTCAGTATCACCTTTCATCTCAACGTATAAATACTCCCTCTCGTCCCTCGTAATGGCTCCGACCTTTACTTACGCCTCTCAATAAACGCCGGCAAAGCTTGAAAGAATTTCACACCACCGTCTTGACCAGCTTGATAATCTTGCACCACCGCCCTCACTAACTACGGCTTGCTAACACTCATCCCAAAATGTGTCGAGAAAGAGAAGAGACCTGGCTGTGCAAGTACTGCCATCGGTTTATCAGATCGGTCACTTACAAGATATGGAAGTGCGATGGATTCAAACGGAATGGGGTTTGCACTGAGGTGAAGAAAACACTGCCGACGACCGTGTATCAGCATGATGCGGATTGCGAGTTTTGTAACGCGCCGAGAAAATGGCCTGACGATGAAGGTTTTGCTGCGTGGATCAAGAATCAGAATAACTCGTCGCCATGGTGAAGATGAGAGGAGGTTTGAGAATTGATGAGGCTGGACTTTTCTTCTCCAAGCCTATAACTTCATTCAGAGGCTCAGATCAATTGCATCTAGGCTTGTAGCCGTTTATAATCCAATCTTATCTTCTGACCGGCTCATGAACCCGGTCTCAGTCCCCATCGGTATCCATCCCGATCAAGTGACACGGCGTAAATACTCCACATTCTCCATTCGGCCATCTTATCTCTCTGACATTTTCCGACCGACGAATCACACCCTTTCTCAATGACACATTGTGGGGGTTTCATTCTCCGATCTTCATGACGCCGGCCGAAGCTTTTCTCCTCCACCACTTTTAGTCTACGCCCGGAATTTGACTTCCCTGATATTAATTTCTTCCCCAGGGAACTGAACTGACCGGAATTCCGAACACTTACCAATAGTTGCTCGTAACGAGTTCCGGTTAGGGTATTACCAATGCCGAGGGCTACAGGCGAACCGCGTGTAAGGCGCTCTTGTGAGCGCTGTCGGTACGTTATCAGTCGTGATAAAGATGAGATGCTGACGACGGAGGTAGGGAAAAGAAGATTAAGTGTCCTGCCGAGAAACCGGGCTGTTCGCACTGTCGGATGGCGAATCAGACGTGTACTTATCTACCTCGGAATCACGTCACCAGTAGTCGAAAATCCTTCGCTCGGAGCTTGTTAGTCATTGCGCCTGGCCTACAATGAACAAGAGAGCTGATATACAAAAGCAGACCTCTCAAAGCGCAACATACTAGTATATCTCCGACTGCGTCGAATCATGAGCAAGAGTAAGTTCATGGGTCGAGTTGTTGCCCTAGCTAATTGGATTGAAGTCAAGTGTTTGGAAATAGACATCAAAGTCAAGATGTCAATACCTGGAATAGTCATGCAAACTCACCGCGTATACATCCGCAGCTACCGCCGATAACAGCTATGCTCTCCGAAACCTCCTCATGGTACGATACATCTTCCAAGCCACGTTCAATCACTGACAAGAACAGGTCACCAGCAAACCCAGAACCCCCATCAGACCTCCTAGCAGACTTTGTAAACGCCTACCGCGAGAAGCTCTACTTTCAACCGCTTCCGCTGTTTGACCCGAAGCGCCTGCAGCTTAAGATCGGGACACTACCTCAGTACCTCCGGTGGAGCTTCTTAGCTTTGTCGCTGCATTATACGAGTCATAACTTCTACTATGGGTTGGAGGGGAAGGCTATCGAGTATTATGCCACTTCGGCGAGGAGCGTAGTTGTTGACATGGCGGCGGAAGGGCTGGTGCAGTTGGAAGTCATGCAGGCTTTGTGTCTACTAGCTCTGTGCGATCACATCGGTACGTTTGTTCTCTGGGTATTTACTTATTACTAAGTAAAATTAGCTGGAAAGTCTTCAAGGGCGTGGATGATGATAGGAATGGCATCAAAGCTGGAGTCGCTTCGTCTTTCAGACTCGAAAGCCAATGGCTCACGTCAATCTGATGATGCGGTCTCGAGATGCCATTGGAGTATTGCCATCCTGGAAAGTACCTTTACTCCCCATTGTAACACTCTGTTTGAAGCAGCGCACGCACCGCATTATCCCAAGAGCTTACCTAGACCAACTACTCTGCACGGTATGAAGACATATTGCGCTGACTTGACGGATGCATACGAAGCAAACGTCCAAGACGTAGGGATTGTCGCAACCTGTCTCGGCTACATTTCCGTTTGGGGCAGTATAATTTCTTACCTTCGCGACATCCGCAACGGAGCGAATGAGTATCCATGGCTAGCGACCTCAAGACATAATCAACTCACCGTCAAGCTATACGAGCTCGAGAACATCACCTCCCATCGCCATCTCATCCGCAACGCCCCTTTCCCCGACCAACCGTCCTCCGAACTCAGCGAAAACAGAGAATACTGGGCACCCTGGGTATTATTCCAAGTCATGATGCACGCCACCCAAGCCATTCTCAACAATCCCTTCGTCCAACTCGTCGCTCTTCGGCGCGCGGGTCGGAACTTTCAACCACGCTCTTTTCTGCAGAATACAGTTGATCAAGCTTTATTCCATGCAGAGTGGGTTTCTAGGCTTGTGAGGATGTGTGCTGATAGACAGTTTGAGGTGAATGATCCTCTGGTTGGACAGGCTGTCGCGGGATGTGTTTCGATACTGTGGATATTTCAGTTTGCGAGGGACAGGAAGGTTTCGGAGAAGGCGAAGGAGAATCTAGGTATTTGTGAGACATTTCTGGAGCATTTAGCGCGCAAGTGGCCTCATATTGCTGAAAAGGTGAGTCCTACATAGCTCTAGTGCTTGGTGACACTAACACCGTTATAGGTCGAGATTCTACGCACGCTCAACGTCAAAGTAAAAAAGAAGCGGCAATCTCCACAGGATGAAGAGTCCAGCAGCGCAACTATTCAATTTGAGCCAGATATGATGTGGGAACTTCTTGACCCTGCCATGTCAGGCGTTGACTGGCCCAGTTTATGCAAAGCGGGAGGGACTTATGCTGCGACGAGCGCTACGATCAAGGTTGCGACCAAGTTTATACATCCAATTAATAGCGATGAGGATAATGCGCCGATGGAGAATGTTTCGCATAATTTATTTGATCTGGAGGATGTTTACGGAGAGCCGTTTCTGGATCAGTTCTTTTCTGATTCTTTGCTTGTCAATATCTCATAGAAAGATTAGATAGGCTTATTACACCTTGCTGCCAGTATAAAACTCAGTCGGTTCATACCCTTTCCCGTTTTCAAAGCTTCTCTACGATATTGTGAATCCGTTTCTCGATTAAAGCTTATGCAGCCCCAATTTCGGTCCCGGCTAAGAAGCCGAGTTTGCCTAGAGAACCTCGCCGTCCAATCATCGTGATGCACAAATGCGCGGACATCAAGCCACAGAAACTTCACAGCCAATACGAGATGCTGAGTTTGTAACATGTCTGAGGTGAGACGAATGAGAAGACAAAGTGGCTGACGCAGACGTTCACCAGCTGTGTATAAAGCGCGCAGGCTAGCTGATGAAGTTTGTTGATGTATTCTTCAGCTTTCAAAATGCTTGTTTCACAGTCTCTCCTCTCACTTGGCTCTATCTTTAGCGCAGTGACGACTCTGCCGGGATGCGGAGAAGTGAATGTTTTTTACACGCGAGTTCATGCCTCTAGATTGCTGATGGGATATTTACTGACGTTATGTAAAGCGGTTTGCCTGGTCGACATACGTATGTTACGCAGCAAGGCTATGATGCCGCGCTTGTTGAGGCGCAGATCTTCAACCATACGCGCCAGCTGCGGGAGGCAGGATACAACGTACGAGGTACATCCGCCGTGATGAATGAGACATCCTGGGTGCTGACCAGTACACAGCGGTCTGGAGAGGTCCCGAGATACCGGGCACAGAAATGAGTAAGCACATGAAAGATGTCCACTGGCATGTCGCTGGCGTTGGCTTTGGCGTCCGAGGATCTCAGATTTCAGACGTAATCACCCTCTTCGAAGGTCAGTAATCTCTTTTGGCTGTCAAATTGACGAGAAATAGCTGAACTGGTCAGAAACGCTTGATATATACCGCGAAGAAGCGCCGGATGCCAAATTTGTGTTCAACTATAATCCGTTGACCTTTTTATGGTCTGTTAAACGGTATTTCCCGCTGTCGAGTGACTGTAAAGATCGCCCGGGAAAGGATTTGGTAAGATCTTACTGATGTAATGAACTGGGTCCTGCTGAAGGTGCATTTCTAGGGATACATCACAATTTGCGATAGCGCGTGTGCTTGAGTGGGATGACAGCACATGAGCCAACGACAATGGATTGGACTTCTAATATGTTGAGAGTAAAATCCTGATAGGAATATGGCCACTAATAGGTGTGATGGGTAGTGTAGCTCATCCATTTATTACCCAGCGAACAGTGTTATGTAATGTTTAGCTATTACCTCCATCCATTGTTGCCAGATACCTTGGCGGCAATAACTCAATCTCGCAGGAAACAATACTACGATCTACAACACCATATGAACCTTGATTCCCACCCCCATTCTTGAGTAATCGGTGTTAATTGCTGCATTATCTTGCCCACATTCCTAGGTGCCTTAATACACAACTTGCAGTCAGTAGTCGATCTAGGGTGGGGGAACAAGGATAACAACCGTCAGTTGCCGCAATGTAATCGATATCATTTGCCAAAGCTACATAGAATTATCGCACACTATAGGCTCGACCAATATAAAGGGTCTTAGCTGGCTATCGTCGGCAACATGTTATCAATCACTAGTCCTGAGGATACGGTCACGACTCCGGCTGACTGAGCTACAACCAATAATATTGATCTGAATTACGTCCACTTTAGGAAATTTTAACATGACCAATGAAACTTTTGACCATTTCGGGCAATTTTAGTCGAATCGAGATAACAGGGCCTATCAGCGGCAGTATTCTTCGTCAAACACAGATTCACGGCAGATTGGCATGTTTCCATTAATGAAACATACTCGGCAGATAAAAAACCCCACGATAGGTGCTCAAGTATCTGCACAGGTGCCTTAAATTGAGCTAAAATATCGTTGTATTGCCTCTGAGCTCACTTATGACTCCCCTAATTTCAAGCCAAATCCGCCTGCACATTCTGAACCCTATTTGAATTCTCATTTGGATCCTTACCCTCATCATGTGGAAATTCCTTGGACTCTCCTCGGGCAACAACGCTAACACCAAGACAGAACCAACCCGTGGTCTTCCGTCGTCTTGGTATCGCTCCCCCGAGATTTACAAGCTGGAACGTCGAGCTATCTTTTCTAAGAAATGGATTCTCTTAACTCACAAGCTGCGTTTCCAGCAACCCGGCGATTACCTCTCGTTTACCTATGCCGAGTTCCCCTTCTTCCTGATCCGAGACCGCGACGGCAATATTAACGGCTTCCATAATGCTTGTCGTCACCGTGCTTATCCTGTTATCAAGGACCGCTCTGGTAAGACTGGCATCATCAGTTGCAAATATCATGGCTGGTCATACGGGTTGAAGGGAAACTTGGCTAAGGCGCCTCGCTTTGATACAGTCCCAGACTTTAATAAAAGCCAGCATGGACTATTTCCAATTCACGTCTATATCGACAGGACTGGCTTTATCTGGGTCAACTTGCAGGCGGAATTGGAGGAGACGTGGGAGATGCAGTTTGGCGGAGTTGATGAGAAGACTTTGTTTGACTTTACCAGCGGATACAAGTATGATCATACGTGGGACATGAACCTTAATTCCAACTGGAAGGGAGTTATGGAGAACTACAACGGTAAGCTACCAGGATAATGGTGTTTGGACAATTAATCTAAATACCCAGAATGCTATCACTGCCCAACGAGCCACCCTCTTATCGCCGGAGTTTCCGACCTGCCCAAATACAAAGTCGAACCCAAGGGCAACTGCTTGGAGCATACAATCATCAACAAGAAGGAAGATGACGGGACAGACGACTTTAAGCGCTCCATCAGATTCTTCTTTCCATCGACGTCCGTTACAGTTACGTAAGTCAATGCACACTGGAGCGAGCTTTGCTACAACTCCTGACATTATTGCTTAGTAAGAACTTCTTCTACATCCAACGGATGATTCCTGTTGATGCAACACACACAAGAATAGAGAACGAGGTGTTCCGCCACGAGTCGGCCGGAGACGAAATCTTCAAAGCCACGATGGAGTTCTACGCACAGGTTCTTGAAGAAGACAAAGAATTGTGCGAGTCCGCGCAGACCAATCTAGGAGCCGGAGTGTTTGTCAGTGGCGAACTGCACCCAGACAAGGAACGAGTCAGTGCCACCCATCATGAGCTTCTACTCAGTTGCCAGCTACTAACCTACTTTGTTTAGGGACCTATTCACTTCCAGAACACGGTCAGACAGCATGTGATGGAGCATAGGAGGAAAGAAGTCGAGTTAGGCGAAGAAATTTTACCGGCGATGCCTAAGGTGGTAGGGCCGATGAAAACTAGCACGCACGATCAGGACGCAATGTTGTGCTCTCAACTGGAAAGGGAGAGCTGCGGTTCAAGAGCAGAGTTGGCCTGGTAGTGAGGCAAGTTAAACGACTTCCAATTATTCTTGCCCTCCAATATCGAACTAGAAGACAAGATCTTGATATTGCCGTTTCAACTGCACCATACTTGACTTGAACAGCATACTCCTGAATGCAAAACTGCCATTACAATTCCACAGCTCGAAATCGAGTCTTTATGTTAAAACTCACATTGCTATAAATAATGGAGAAATGTGCGATTGTCACTGCTTTAACATCAGTATTGCAGTCCGACAATCTTCTTCGTTTTGGAACGCCATCGTCGCCCTCAGATTGCTGGTAAATAGGGGACGAGATTCTCGCTATCATGTGGAGCTCGTCTTTAAATTTCAAGAATCCTAAGCCATCAGGCAAGGAGGTATTGGATAGCCTCACCTTATCTGCGCCTTCGGTAGGTCCTGGTACTTTAAGATACTCAGTGATATTCTTTATGCTAGTGCAAAAACCAAGTGACAAGACTGGCGACCATTTGCATATCAGTGTAAGCAAGTGGGCTCATCATGAGGAAGTGTTTGATTGGCAGTGTAGAAGGCCGCTTAATAGGTATGCGTGACGCCCTCCCAGACATCCTGACCTACCGTTCTTATCATTAGTGCTACTCTTAGGATACTTTAGATCTTTACTTGCAATTTTATTTTTATAATAAGCTATAAAGTATAAAGTATTTATTAAAAGGACTTAAGGCATGTGAGAGAAGTGTACTATAGCACAGTGCTAAAACGCTACACTACTGAAACATCACGATGCCTCACAGGTGACAGATCGCACAGACTCACTCTGCCACGTGTCCATCGTCCGTCCTTCCTCCAATCGCGCTAAAACTGCCGTGATAGCTCAAGCACTGTGACATTAAACGTCCCAGGGCTTCGGGACGCAGACACCGGGTACCAAGAATGCATCACGGCGAGAGGGTGTACGGCATGCATATCGAGCAGTGCCACCGGCCCAATATCTTGGGGAAACACATGGCGCTCAATAATGGTTGCAGGGAGTTGACGTTTTAGGACACAGCCTAAATCATGGGGGATGGTCTGTGAACACCTGGGCTTGTATTTCACGATAGGGATACCACTCTGGCGTGTATATACGCCTGGCTTATCAGATGGTGGGGTGGTGATCCCTGCGGCCTGGATTTGGGGTGACATTGGCTGCGACGCAGGAACATAGCTTTAATCATCACATTGCTGGAAATAGTTTTCCTATAAGGGAACAAGTTGAAAGATGGAATGTGAGTTGGTTCCTGTCCAAAGTTGTAGTTCGGAATGGCGTTGCGTTGCGAGCATAGGCAGCAACTTGCAGCACCGCGACGTAGCATCATGGACTACACGCACTGCGCATACACATAATGTGAAAGGAAATATGCAAAAGTTTATTTATTTATACATCAAACTTCATATATATCTCTATTCAACTACAGACGCTATCACTAGTCATTTATCATGTACTCATCGACGAGCAAGCCGCAGTCTCGCATGTTCGCATACGCTACAACACCATCACATCTCTTACAGCAACCTAACCCTTGAATGCCTTCCCAGTACTGATATTGACCTTTGTCCATAAAGAGCCCGTCGACATGTACCAAGCAAACTGAACAGGCCAATACACATGCATCATCCACAGCCAAGGCAGAGGATCCCACGACTCAAAGGTGCCATCCTTCCAGTAGATAATGTGCTGCACAAAAGCCCGAATTGACTTTTGGATATCCGACAGACTCATCGTGCCTCGGAACAGAGTGAGGTAGAAGGGATACAGAACAAGCTCGACGAAATCCTGGCCCACCCAGTAGTATTGCTGGGGATTGTTAGGTGATACAGGTGGCTTTGTCAAAGGCCTGGGTGCAGATGGGGTAAGAATGGAGAGGTACTCGTCAACGATCTCGGGTGTGTTGTTGAAGAGAACGGTGGCAGTATGGACTCTTGGATTGCATTCAATAGGATATATCGTGACGTCTTTATCAACACCAGACTTGACGGCATCTTCATCTTCCTTGTTGATCAAGAAGTCGAAACTCATATGCCCTGTAAAGTTGTCCCCGCCTTCCTCAGCTTGCTTCAGTGTAAAGTTAAGCATCGCTCTGCTCAGCGGTGAATCAGCAGGGAGAGCGGAGTAATGCATAAGAACATCGGCGGAACGACACGCGACAAACGCGCAGACGCGACCGCGAATGATGAGCGCATGGGTGCAGAACTCAGGACCTGTGATGTACTCTTGTATGATGAAGGAGCATTTGGAAGTCTCGAAGGGAATAGAGTCGATGCGTGCGAGGGTAGTTTCTTCGGAGGGAAGAGGAAGTAGAGGCATTGCAAAGCGCGCGACATCATCGACACCAACAGGCTTGACAAGATATTGTCTTGCACCATGCTTATGCTCAAGACCTCCGTTTCTTTGAAGAAAGTTAATAACATCTTCTTTATCCTCAACAGCCTCCGTCAACGGAACCTTCAGACCAAGGCTCTTGGTATGCTCAATAAACGCATCCTTCTCATGAAGTCTTCGGATATCCTCAACGCCAAATTGGATCGCCTTAGCATTCGTACGAGCTTCAATAATTTCGCGAACCGCAGCATCTTCAACAGCCGCGTTGACATCCGAGACAGAAACCCAAAGATCAACGCCTTCGTAGTGAATAATCTCGACAATTCGATTGAGATATGGATCATTCATGCTCGTTTTTGAAGGGTCTGAAGGCGGTGGGAGACGATAGTACGCGTCGATTGCGAAGGATACGCGACCGGGCGAGAGGGAATGACAATCTGCTCCTATGACGCGATGGCCTCGACGATGAAACATTCGTGCGAGAGAGAGACCCTTGGCCATGTTCACGCCTGTGACCAGAACCGTGACTTTGTCCAGATTATCGCCGTCATTGTGAGACTGTGAAGATTTGGAAGTGAAGCGGTTCAAGAGGTAAGCTCCCAAAGCGAAGAGGGCGTTTGTTGGTAGGAATATGAAGCTGAGGAGGAAGAGAGCCAAGTTCTTGGCGAATTCAATCGCTCGAGAGCTCTCCAGCGCCTGATTTGGCTTCCCCATGGTGAATGGGATATAAACTCTGAAAATCGAGTCGTTTCAGTATTCAATTGACAATTCAGAGCTTCACAAATCTATAGAGCTATAGCTACGGAGGATACAGCTCAGAAACGCGTTGCGAAAAAAAAGTCAATTGGAAGACGTCATGACTTGGGCGTGTCTGCGGAGAATGGTCTCACTAGCACGTCGGTGCCGCTCCGGGGCAACACATTCCGTTCACAAACGGGCCCCTCTCTACTAAGACAATACAATCTAGCTCAGCCTAGTCTCAGATCCTAAAGAGGGGAAAAATACATTAGGCTTCTTCGCCAGGAAGATTAGCTCCGATGGTTTCACTCATGCATATGCAGCTTTTCACACCGGTCCGTTTCGCAACCAATTACAGCTCCAGCGTGTTCCTCACGTTCCTTCGAGGTATCACAAGAAAAACACACCATGTGCGGAATCGTCACTGTGTATACCGATGCAAACGGTCGAGACTCCCTTTTTCTTCCATCAGCCCACAATACTGTTACACCGAGACGCTGTGCTAGGAGTCTGCTTACGTCTATGACGTGCTAGACTCGTGAGCAGGAGATGCAAAAGAAGATGGATTCGGAAAATAAGAGGCGGTCAGGAAATAACGGTCCCCGTAAGGCGCAAGGGTAGATATCGTAGATCTGCGGTGCAACATTCCCATTGTCCTTTTTCCCGATCTCACTTCAGGGTCTAGGCATTTCACATGTCCCCGTGTTGTTTTTGGCCAAGGGATGCCCATGCCCGCTAGGTTCAACGTGGGGAAAACCTAATGAATGACGCGCACATGCGAGATGGTAGTGTAATCGACGCCATCTCGCTAACATCGCCCCGTCTTTACGAGAATACAGTATTCCTTACCCTCTCCTAGGACATAGATCTAGGTACAATCTGTCCCCACGCGGGGCCTAAGATCCTACCCCTGAACGACAAATTCACGGTACATCCCGTTGCGGTTGCTGGGTATATGACACCTCGAGAAAGAGATATTCGCAATACACCTTACCAAACGGGCTAGCATAACCTATGTCGTGCTCAACTGCTTGTTTCTCACGGGCTATGTTGCATGCATTCTTACAGAAGCGTGGGAACTAATGCTTCAGACCCATCGTAACTTGACCATAATGACACCAACATTAGATACATGCATCTGCCTGCAAACATGCACCTGTAGCCAAGTCTCGGGCCTCAAATCAGTTACCCAATGAAAACGGTCCTCATGTTTCTGTACTTCTCCCCCAACCACTCGTTTACCGACGACTCATGTAGTGTTAACTTGCTGTCGTGAAAAGAACCCTAGCTTGTGAGCTTGTCGGCAGTTGAATATCCCTCAGAGGGGGGTGGTATTCGCACATAAAAAGCTCTTCCCATCACCATCACTACCCTCAATTCCAAGCTACACACATCCTCTACACCCTTCCATCCCTATTGTACTACCCCAAAACACGACCCACCATGTCTGATATGAGTGCTACCGTCGAGCCCACCTCCAAGGGTTTCGCTGTCTGTGGCTACGAGAAGATCGAGTATGACTTTGAGTTTCTCGATGGTGTTTTCAACACTGCCAATCCTCAGCTCTACCAGCTCTACTCCCCCTGGGGACGATGTCTGGCTGTCATGGACCTCAACATCTTTAACCTCTATGGGAATGAGATGCAGAGGTACTTTGATCACTACGGCATTCCTCTTACTATTCATAAGACCATGATTGGTGAGAAGGCCAAGAGCATGGATACTCTTTTGTCGATTGTTGATTCTATGACCGACTTTGGTATTTACCGAAAGGAGCCTGTTCTCGTTGTTGGTGGCGGTCTCGTCACTGATGTTGCCGGGTAAGTCTCCTCATCAATCGTTGTGCACAATTTAACTGACCATACAGCTTCGCTTGTGCTGCGTATCGTCGCAACACCAATTACATCCGCATCCCCACCACAGTCATCGGTCTCATCGATGCCTCAGTCTCCATCAAAGTCGCCGTCAACTACGGCCGCTACAAGAACCGTCTTGGCGCCTACCACGCCCCGTCTCACACATTCCTTGACTTCACTTTCCTCCGCAGTCTTCCCGTAGCACAGATCCGCAACGGTTTCGCAGAGCTGATCAAGATCTCTACTTGTGCTCACAAAGATACTTATGATCTTCTTGAGAAGTATTGTGAGCAGCTCATCAATACTGGCTTTGGACGATCTGATGATGCTACTCCTGAGATTAAGGAGGTCGCTGATAAGATCTGCCGTGCTGGTATCCATGAGATGTTGAAACTCGAGACACCCAACTTGCATGAGATTATGCTTGATCGTGTTATTGCCTATGGCCATACTTGGTCTCCTCTTCATGAGCTTGTCCCTGAGACGCCTCTTCGTCACGGCCATGCTATCTCTATCGACATGGCATACTCTGCCACCCTCGCTCACATCCGTGGTCTTCTCTCATCAGAGGAACACACCCGTCTTTTGAACCTCTTCTCCCGAGCTGGTCTCTCCATGGACCATCCTCAGTTCGATGCCTCTCTTCTCGAGAAGGCCACAGCTGCTATTCTCAAGACCCGTGACGGCAAGCTTCGCGCTGCTGTTCCCATCAACCCAATGGGTGACTGTGTCTTCTTGAACGACGTCAGCCACGACGAGATGGTCGCCGCTCTCGAGGAGCACAAGAAGATCATGAAGTCTTACCCTCGCCAGGGCGCTGGCCTTGAAGCTTTCGTTGACTCCAGTGACACTGGCTACACCGTGAACGGTGCCCCTGTTGAGAACGGCAATGCTCAGAACATTCCCCTCAATGGCGTCAAGAACGCTAAGCTTCATGCCTCTGGTCCCGAGGGTGTTGATGGTCTTCAGCAAGACTCTAGCAGTGATGACGATTATGTTGTCAGCTCCTCCAAGACCAACGGTCATCAGGACAAGGGTATCCTCAGTGACCTGAAGGAGAAGGCGAATGGTATCCAAACCCAGATCGCCAAGGCTGTGACGGTTGAGAGTCAATAATTGCATCCAAAACAAAAACAAAATTCAATGCATTGGAAAATGAGTACACGTTTGCTAGGTTGGTTTAGTTCACTGGGATTACCTTATATCCTGGTCCTTTTTAGCATTATGATACCGGGTCTGAGAACGAGATGATAAATCACTCAGCATCCACGGTTTTACTTTCAATTCAATATACAAACAAGGATTTTACTCCATAACCGATCCGATTGAGTTGTGACTGTACGCCCTCTTCAACGTTCATGCTCCTCATACTCTGCTGAAGGATCAGGGCCCTCACTTGCCTCCCTCTTCTGCATTATTCTTTGCCCCGTTGATCATGTTGATGAAGTCCTCCGCCGCGTTCTCCGAAAAGAATTCAGCTTCTCGTGCTATGCAGCGCCGTATGTAGTCCTGGCCACGTTCAAACATCTCCCCCTCGTATTCCGTCAATGCGCTTTCCAGGTCATTGTCTTTAGTGTCTGCACCACTAGTTTGCGTACAGTGCTTAACTATCGCCTTCGCTAGCATGAGAGCATCAAACATCGCCATATTGACTCCTTCGCCTACAAGCGGGGTTGCAAGATGAGCAGCATCCCCAAGAAGGGTGGCTCCAGGGACTCGTTCCCAACTGACCGACGAAGCAGGTAAGCGATACAGAGGCCATGCATGGAATGGCCCTTCAGCATTCGTAAGATATTCTCTCAGGTTTGGAGCCCAGTTTGCGAAGAACTCTGGTGAAGATAGCAATTTCTGACGAATGTTCTCTGTGTCTTCATGGCCCAGAGGTCTGAGATAGAGCTCTTCCGGCGCACCCATACCCATGTAGAATCTATAGGAACGGTCGGCTAGCTGCTGAACGGCTATGATCTTATGCTGTCCCATTGCGAGCATGTTCCCTGGGCCTGCGTGTTTCAGTGCAGCAGTGTAGCTTGGGTTGTTATGAGATATGCTGCCTTCGATGAAAACTTTACCAGAGTAATCCGGTATTGCCGAATTAACCTTGTGATGTATTAGTATAGACTACGACGCGATAAGTGTCTTGACATACCAGTGGGCGCACCTTGCTCCACGCTCCATCCGCGCCAACGATAAGACGAAAGCCAGATGCAGAAGTTTTATTGGAAAAATGGATACGATGCTTAACTGCCTTTTCACCTTTCTCAATAGACTTCACACCGTGAGCCCAGCGAATCTTCTGAGTTGGGATCGAGTCAAGCAACAACTTCCGAAGTTGCAGCCTGTCAATCTCGGGAGCATCGCGATCTTCTCCGAATACAGCTTTAACTGTCCCAGTTGGGGTCTGCATGAACACACGAGATGCATCCCATCGAGCAAGGCTCTTGAATTTGTCAAACAACCGAGCCTCTTTGAGAGCAAGTTGACCTGAGGAGGCGTGGATGTCTAGAGTCCCTCCCTGGTTGGTGAACTTGGGCTCCGGACTTTTGTCACGCTCATAGACGATGTAATCGATGCTGTTGATCTCGAGTAGCCGGGCGAGAGTCAGGCCGCTGGGCCCTGCTCCGATGATGGCAATAGGGGCTTTGGTAGGCATGTCAGATGATTCTTGAGTGTTTGGGATTGTTTATCTCTATGACGTTGAAAGATAGTATGGCTGCTTGCTACGTTTTATATCTGTAAGTTGATGAATGAACCAGGCGTTGTGAGGGTTAACGGACAACAATAGTCCTTTCAAAGTCCGTATTACTCCGCCATTGGCATCTGCCTTAAATCATAACTTCGCGTCTTGAGGATTATGCAATGCGGATGGATTAACTGAAGTGATGAAATTATCTTCCTGGCATATCCGAGTCTGCTACAATTGATTGGTGGACTTCGGAAAGTAAGCACTTGTTCGCTCCGATCTCAGCCAATTAGAGCGCGACTCCTCGGGCTTGATGACAGAGGGGAACTTCCTCGGTCTCAAACATTCATCCTCTTCTCTTATTCTTAATCGCCATCCGAATTTCTGTAAACAAGGCAAGCCCATCAAACTTCATCGGATGTCTTCTTTGGCGAATGCCGGCTTAGCTCGTTATGCGGTAAGCATCACTCATCCTGTGCCGTAACTGACACTTACCAAGCATTAGTGCGACTACTGCAAGCAAAAGAAGTTTAGGTACACGACACAGCAAAGCGGGAGATTATCACTTCATAGATAAAATCTGCTAATTGAGTACTAGATGTTCCAAGGAGCTTCCAAAGTGCATCGCGTGCCAACCATGGCCAGGGCCTTGTAACTATTCCCGAGATAAACCGGCACTCAAGGGCAGCGTCCATGAGCGAGCAACCCCTCCTTCTCTTGATTTGAAGAACCAGAAGAGCATAGAAAGGCTACATACACGATTGAAGAATCTAGAACAAGAGGTACAGGCTCTAACTACTACTGTAACTCAAGGCGTTGAGGCGGTGAATTATGTTACATCAGCAAACTACCAGCCGGTGTCTGAAAAAGACTGCGAGCCTCAAGACGGAAATGATTCACGTCGCGACCTGAATGTAGAAGATCCGAGTTCCTTTTTCTTTTTAAAGGACGTATCTATCACCAACACAACTATCGGTTCAACACCTCTCCACCAACATGCAGCCAGGGAGTTCCAATTTTTGTCAGATTCTTTGACAACAGCAGTTGTAACCAGTAAAGGTTATCATAATACTGGCTTTTTTGTACCGTCCAAAGGCGAAGGGTATCAGATGATAGGTCGTGAGTAATTTCCCCGAACAAGTGCTCAATCTCGGCTGACTCTTAGAGGCTTCTTGGAAAACGCCAGCCTGGGTGACGCGTTCTTCATCACACCCTCAGAGAGCCTCCTCATACAAACCATTTTCAGACCTTATACTGTCTCGAAAAAGGCATGGGTGGTGTATATAAACTACATGATTCTCACTATGCTAGCACATAACGAAGATGCCAGAGCTCAACAGTACAGGAACAATATGAAGTTGGCGCTTAACGATAGCAGAATCTTTCTCGAACCTCATGAAGCCAATCTTCAAACCCTCATCATGCTTGCCATTCATGGTGAGGATTATGCTTCGCCTAATGAATCGTGGATGCTTGTTGGCCATGCCTGTCGTCAAGCTGAGGCTTTAGGGCTGCACACACCGTCCGAAGCAGATTATGTGACAACGCAGCGGAGTCTGAGCCTATTTTGGCTTCTTTTTGCCGTAGACAAGTCATGTGCTCTTGCGTTTGGCCGTTCATGTTCTCTCCCATCGGCAACATACTCTCACGTTCCGCTGCCAGATTTGCGTTATTTGACAAAGTTTCATCCTTGCAATGACTCCCCTGATGCAGATGGAAGGACCGAAAGATCTATGTTCGGAGGCCATATGTTTCTTGCGCGCATTGAGCTCGCACAGATGATCGGGGTGGCCCTCGACTCAAGGCACATCTCCGAGTCAGAAGACGGCATGAAGGAGCGTTTCGAAGAGTGGTATTCGGCAACAAACAAGGCGAGTTCTGAAAGGTGCGCTTAGGATTACAAATGCTAACCCCCAGTAGATATTGAGCGATACACTACAGAATGAAATACGTTTCTCGAGCCCCAATGAGCTACGCGAGATGAAATTGGGCATTAGCACTATCAAGTTTGAGTACTTGCATGTGTTGATGGTCCTCCTCAAATCGCATCCACCTTCTGCCAACTTGAGACTAGACACCGCGAGGGAAGCCATCACTATTCTTCCTTCGATGATCTCCAATTGGACTTCGATATATAACAGTATGATCTGGTAAGTCGCCCCCCCAATTATTTTACGCAGATATCTAAGAATGGACAGGCATCTCCTATACTACCCCTTCATACCGTATTTTATCATATTCGAGAACTTAGTCCACAAACATGCGCTTTCCAGTAGGATCACGATTCAGCGAGACCTCGAGCTTTTGTCTATGACTGTCTCCTACTATCATACTATGAGAGATCAAATGCAAATGTTAGCTCCTTTATGTAAGCGCCTTGAGAATATTGCAACAGTATTCCTACGCTTGGCAAAGCAGTGCGTTGATGGTCTACATCCCTTTTTACCAACTCAGCAACTCTCAGCAAGTACCCATACTGTGAGTAGTTCAAAGGAAGAGAATTACGTTCCACCTTTGAGGGACATACAAATGGAGCTGGGTGGCGAAATTGGCGCTGATCTGGAGCATTATATCCAGTGGCTACCGCCAAATATGATCCCTACACAGATTTCGCGCACCACTGAGGCTACAGAGGCAAGCCCGGCTCACGTTCCCTCCAGAAGCGCTTCATCGGAACCGGTGCAGCCAGACTCCCGGGGTACCAAGAAGCCGTTTGATGTCATGTTTGATTGGTTCGCTTGGGATGTTTATTACGGGGAGCAGAACGGCGATAGGCTATAAATATGTTAAGATGTATATGTTGCAAATGCTTAAGCAGATCTGGATGCTGTGTTGTCAGATTTGTTCTGTGGATAGCTAGTCATCTCAAAGACCTGTGGTCTGTCTGTATTGGCCTTCTGCTTAACCTCTTTCCTGGGCCCAACTACAAAAGTCAGCAAATATCCATGGCTTCTGTCATTGCTAGACTTACATATACTGAGACAGACGAACTTGATCATTACTGGGAACCAGATAGCCACGGCGACAAGTTGCCCAAATCCCCACGTCGACAGGCCGCTATCAGATGAGTGCATGTCAAGAAGCTCGACCATCTCGCGCAGACCAATGAAGATCATGATAACCGTGAGAATTTCGATCGCGGCCCAAAAGACTGCCAGCAAGAGTTTGGCACCCTTGGTCTCTGCGAATGAGAAGATCGTACGAGAGTCTCCGCCAATCTGCGTATACTTGATCTTATCTCCGGTCATTTGCGTCTTAGCAAAATGCACAATCCAGTCCATGATCAGGCATGATACTATGATATGGACTGCAAACCGACATGCAAGAGTAACGTTGAAGAAGTCATAGCTGTTCTTTTCCTTGATTCCCTGACAGAAGCTCATTGGTCCGGGATTACCTCCACAAGCAACCACGGTCGAAACCTGCTTCAGGTGCTCTTCGAATGCATCGGCATTGAAGTCTTGAAACTCGGTGATCACAGTCATGAGTATCCAAGACAAGACAACGAAGAAGAGAGTATAGAACCGACGCTCTCCAGCTCGGTGCATGACGAGCGGCGCGATCAGAACTGGGTACATACCAGCTGTGATGAGTCCTTGCAGGATCCGATGGTTGAACATCCACGAGAAGAGTGTAAGCATGTTGGCTAAACCGGCTCTATTTCCGCCGTCGAACGTGATGATGGCCGTGATCGAGATGGTAGCAGCGAACAGAGCCTGTGACTCTTGAAAGTCGAGCATAGCGGAGGATGCAGCTTTCGCGAAGCGTGTTTCGGACAGTGTTGTCTGCCACCTTTGGCATGTGGCTCGAAAGCTAGAGTCCTTCTGGAGTGAGCTACCTATGCGGCTAAATGTTTGGATCCACGACGTTGTGAGTTTGAAACAGAGGCCGAGGAACAGAACGAGCACAAGCTGGATCACATACGCCGTGACGATCTACAAGGGTTTATTAGAACCTCGATTGACGGGGCACACATAGGACACTTACACCTTGTCCAGCGATGTCCAAGTCGATGCCAGCACTTGCAGCCTGACAGTATGGCTTCGCCATCACTCTCCCGAATTTGGCAATGTTATCTGGTGAGACGGGACCGCACTTGAACCCTTGGCGACTGCTTGTACAGCTGCTGTACGTAGAGTCAGAACAAGCAACATGTTGTCGTACAATTGAGTGAGTTTGCATTGCTGTTATTGCAGCCATAGGAAATAAGTCGAGCTATACATGAGCGTTGCGTTGGAGCATGTTGTCGTGCAGTTGAGTGAGTTGGCATCACCGTTGTTGCAGCCATGGGAAATAAGTCGCGCGCCTACGGTCGGGTTCTCGATGATGGACCTGACGCGGAAGAAGTGCGCCGTCTCCCAGGCTTGCCACTGTTCGGATATCGCGATGCCGTGGATGTTCTGTTGAAATCATATTTATCTATGATCTGGAACTTTCGCTCAACCATTTTAACAAAAGATGAAGAAGAGAGACAAGAGGATGAAAAATTCCAGGGAATCTCATTTGGGGCGGATATAGGGCCCCTGAGGCCTACAGATTTAGCCCTATGAGATGCGCTAGCAGGGTTCCACAGTCAGCAACCCTCTCTCTGATTTGGTGGAATTCGAATGCCAAGGCCCAGGCAGATAATCATCCTGCGATAACATTTGGGGGCCGTTGTATAAGTACTTTGCCACCAACGAGAACTGACCACTGAGGGGCGAATATATCTTATCACTTTAGTGTTCACAAGGCAGCTTTATGGTATTTTTGTAAAAATTGACTCAATATTAATTAGCTGCTAATTTAAACGCCGTAACCATAAGAGGGTTGTATTTAATCAGTCGCTGTTCGAGAACGTGAAAGATTATTGTTTTCCTATTGATGTAATTTCGTAGGTAGTAAGCATGTAAGAAGCTGTCGAGAGTGAGGAGGAAATTTTTATCGCTGAGGTCGATGAAGAAATGCCATGTCGTTCTGATTTGTTGTCGGTTCACCCTAATACTCTCTACCAGATATATGCCCTACCAGTTCGGTTAAGGGTCCTCTTGGAAAGTACTGTGGGAGGAGAGGCTTGGGGGTCTTGGAACGTTGTAATGCGTATTGAGGCTCAAAGTTACTTTCTGCTGGTTGGACTTGACTTGACTAAGCGATTCACCTCAGCGTCCACGGAGCTTCCAGATATTCTTAGCCAACACTTTCGAAGATATTGTCTCTGATTCCTGACACAATTTTACCATCTAGCCTTGTTTCTATCATCTTTATGGCCCTCAAAAGTTGCACTTCCATCCTTATTCGATGGTCCACCAGCCACAACGCCCTGCAAAGCCACACAGTGGCGCGAGCTATCCCACGCCACCGCCATTTGACTCCAATTTCTGATTCATCTGCATCGCACCTTAGAGCACATCGAGATTGCCAAGACCATACAAAATGGAAGCCAACTCTTCAGAAATAATCCGCGAGCTGCACGGCGACCTACAGCGCAAATGGAAAGCCCATGGGCCCAAAGTCGAAACTGCCTGGCGATCATTCAACAAAGCCCAACGCGCGAAGTGCATGAAAGCCGGCTCCGCAGATGGAGTTGTCCTCAAGCACTCGTCAGACGTATCGCTGGGCAATGTCTACAAATTCATCCCTGAATGGAACCTCGAAGACATCACAGCTCCCAACTCGGACTTCCTCCTCGACATTCTCAAGCATCGCGCCAACAACAGTCTTTTTGAGCAATATGCTCAAGGCATCAGTGGCACGCTCGGAGACCGCCATCTCATCGAGAAGATGGTTCGGGAGAAGAATCTCCGCCACGTCGAGCCTTTCAAGCATTCCTATACCTACTTCTATGACGAGAAGTACGGCGAGTCATTTACGGTCCAGCCCAAGCATCTGGAGGAGGTTATGAAAGGCCTGCGCATCGCTGTTGACCATGGTGTTCTCATCCCACGATCACTAGGAGAGCTCGTCCTTCAGCGGCAAATCACCATTCTGCAGCTCCTCAATGTCATGGTTGAAGATATCCTGGATCAAGGATCACAGACAAGAGCCCAAGGCGGGAAGAAGAAGCAATCTAAGCATGCACCTCTTTCCGAATCTGCCTCCAAACAGACGGCCGTCAAACTTACGACCCAGGAAGTACTTGCGATTGCTTCTGACCAAAAGTCCTCGCTTGAAGATTACCTGTCACTGCTTCGAACCGAGCCTACAGTCCTATGTCCTGGTGTCAACGTTCAGTTCTTCAGCCGACCAGAACTTGTTCCCGACGAGAAGGGCCGCTCGCTACCAGTCCATACCGACAAATACATCGGGCCTGCTGTCTTCGAGACAATCCACCATGCAGTCCAAGGCATTGCCATTTGGGATTCCATCACAGGCCTCCTTGATCTCCTTGAGAAGCCGTCTACCGACAAGCTCTACAAATCCAGGATTCTCCAAGAGCTGGCAAACATGTGTCATCTTGAATACGCTCGTACGCAAGCGCTTTTCAAGCGCCGAGTTTCAACAAGAACTGGGTCGAAATGGTTCAAACGAATTTCCAACGCATATGACAACTCAGGAAATGCCAAGGTATCGATGAAAGGCAAGCCGGAAGAGCTTACGCGTTCTGATCCCCAGCTGCATTACTTACTGCGACTATGCCAGCCAGAAACTACCGTCACGAAGGCAGTTGAGTGGATGGAGAAGCTCAGCGACCTCTATAAAGCGCATCCCTTGGAGCGAGAGAAGCTTGAAGAGAGGGCGTCACATACGCTTCATGATGTGGCTGCCATCGTCGCATTCGTCCAGGATTTGTCATCTGTACACTCCTTTTCCCCTGCTTCGCGAAAGAAAGGGAACCTGCTAGTCACTAGTCTACAGGAGGTCGATGCCGAGCTCAATCAGATCAAAAAAGAAGTTGACCTGCGTGACTATGCTGCCCCAATCGATAATCTACTCGAACCTGGCATGTCTGCAAAGGCGCTGGGAGCGCTGGATGAGTTTGTCGTGGAGAAGACAGGTACGAAGATGGGATCTCTATACCAAGATGAGCTAGAGAAGGCGTTCCGAAACGTCGAAAAGCAGTACCAGCAGGCCAAGGACAAGGCAAACAAGGATACCAAGGCAGATTTTGTCCCCATCGAGACCACACCAGTGGACGCAAAGGAGAGAATCGAGATTCGAAGACAGAAAGAAAAGACGCGCCCAGAACACTCCTCCGTCTACGCGATCACCCCAACCACAGACTCTCCTGAACACAAGGAAGCTACAAAGCCGGTTCAGCCAGTCAAGGTCAGTTCATCAACAGCCGAGGTCTTTGCGACCCTCTTCAACAAGACTCAATCACGAGGATCTGTTAACTGGTCGTCCTTCGAGGCGGCCATGTCTGAGCTGGGATTCTCGGTACTGCCACGATTTGGATCTGTTTACACGTTCCGACCGTCTGAGGATATGGATATCAAGAGACCTGTCAGCATCCACCGACCGCACCAGTCGCAGATTGAGGGCTATTTGATCCTTATCTTGGCGAGACGCCTGAATCGGGCTTATGGATGGAGTGAAGACTCATTTGTCACTGAGTAAGAGCCTCGTGTTGCAAGCACACGTTTGAAGTGACACTGTCGATTTGCAATAGAGAGACAAATTGCTGCAATATTTGCACGTCGAGTTTACACATTGATATAACTTTTCAATGGCACAAAGGTTCTCATCATGTCAGCTGAGATTGATATTGATGGATATTACGATGCCAAATAATAGAAAAAGATGAAGAGCCGAGATTTAACGCTGTTGTGCCAATTAGACTATTATTTCTCCTGGCAGTTCTGCTTGTAGACGCCTAGGGAAACAAGGTAGTCAGCAAGCGTCTTCATAAGGTACATCAGAAGGATCAGCCATACCGTTCAATATTCTCTGAAAAGCAAGGTCAACTTGACTGTTTTCGCAAGCGGATGTTTCGATAAACATAAGTTTGTTGAGTTCTGCCCCTGATCAGTACCCTCGAACATGTTCACAAGGAGAGGCCAACTTACTCGCAAACTTCTTCCCTTCCTCCGTCGTCACCGACCTTCTACGCTCCAAGTCTGTTTTATTCCCCACGAGCATAAAAACAATCCCAGGTTCACCATGCCTTCGAGCCTCGTCCAACCAGCGTGCTGCATTCTCAAAACTCTGGCGCTTGGTAATGTCGTAGACTAGCATTACAGCCACGGCATCATTGTAATAAACTACTGGCGCCCGATATTTCTCAAGGCCAGCTGTGTCCCAGATATTGACTTTGACGGCCTTGGAGTTGCATTGCACGATTTTCGTGGTGGGCTTCACGCCAATTGTTGGGCTAGAGTCAGGCTGGAATTCGCCTTGCATGAATTGACTCGCGATATTTGACTTTCCAACCGTCGAGTCACCCAGGAGTACCACTGATATCGGTTAGTAACCAGAAATTACCGGTAATTGAGTGTTATCAAACCTTTCCAACGGTACTAGAGATATGCTGGATTAGCTTTGAACTATGAGCGAAATGGGCCATGCCTACATCGTACGGTATATCGCCCATCTTTTGGAAACTTGATGGGTACCCAGTTGTAAAATTTGAGTGAAGGAGTTGACACGGACGTTGACTTACCGCCACTTTTGACCGCGTCGCTGACTAACATTGGTTCCCTCTTCGTCGCAGGGGATATAAGCGAGAGCAGAAGCGAGTCCGAGAGCAGCTATCCCTTCGCCACGGCATAGTGCAGTTCATGGTCTCATCATGAACCTCCACTGTGTTGTTAACAAATTCTTCAGGATTGCCTATGGGTATAACTCTGGATACCAGCATTAGTTTGTTGTAGACGGCAAATCTCTTGGTTCTATTCCCTATTTTGGGGATATTTACAAGAGCGACTCATATGATGTTGTCATATGTTACTAAAGATGAATACCTAGCAACCTACCCTGAACAGTTCGCTTAGAAACAAGCCCAATTGATATTCAGATCACTCTCCAAATGTATTCAAGAGGTGACAAGTTCATATAAATTCCTTATGGGAGCAGATTACAGAGAGCACCTCAGAGAATTCATCAGAATAAAGCCTTGACATCCAATGGGCGCCTATGGCTTCTGAATCGCAAGGATATCGACCAGCCCATACCCAAAGTCATCACCATACATTTGTATTTGCACTATTCCACGTGTATCTTACTAACATCTTTCCAAGCCCAATTGAACGCCTTTTGTTCACCTCTCGCCTGCCATTTCGGAAGCTTTCTTGGAAAACTTTATCACCAGGTTCGTTCAAGAGAGCATCAGATTTCCTATACCTTGGCCTTTACAAGACCGAATGTAAAGGCCATGGATGCGTCAACTTGAATTGCATCAAGATGGGCAGAGGGAGACTCTGTCTTGGGGTCTGCATAGTCTGCTCAGTGCTTGGATTGGTCTACCTACTACTAGTATATCGTATCCAATATTGGAGCCGCAAATGAATTGCACGATTTGCAACCCGACCATGCTCAGCTGAGGCGTAGCATCTCTACCCGAATAATTTAGTTCATAGGTAGTTGAAAGCTTTAATAGATGACTAACAATTTTTATTAGCTTATCAGAGTTACGCTAGCACTGGCCTCTTCAGGAATGCTAAGTTAACTATGATTAGGACCAATCGGCCCATATCAACCCGTGCTTACACCCAATTTCGCCCCTTGCGATGCAACCCAGCCTCAGCCTCAGCAACACCTGAGATTATCATAGATCTCTTTGCTATATGCCAACATATGCTCGCTTTCGTAGCTTCCTTTTCGTAATGGATAATTCTCTATCGCTTTCGGAACCCCGGATCTTGCAGCTTGATGACTACGGCTCGCAGGCTATTGACAACAGGCAGCCTCCAGACAGTCCATCGCTCAAGCAACCGTCATCCGGAGGCGTTGCTGATGTATCGACATCTACTTCTTTATCCTCCCCCTCGTCGCTAACATCTGGCCGACCTCGTCGCAGACCGATTCCTCGCAAGGGTCACACCAAATCAAGGCGGGGATGCTTCAATTGCAAGCGTCGTCGCGTCAAATGCCAGGAAACAACACCGTGTTGTGATAACTGCAATCGTCTTGGTCTTAGATGCGAATATCCTCAGACTTCAGATAAGGCGCTGGTAACCTTGTTTTCACCCCAACCTGCGCAGCCAATATCTCAAGCGCAATTTTCTATGATTGATTTACGCTTCTTCCACCACTTTCTCCTTCATGCGTATCCTGGTCTTCCTATTCAAGGCGAAGAGGTATGGAAAGAAGTTGCCAAGTATTCTCATGGCGTAAGCACAAATGAACCGCAAGATCCTCGAGATATCTACTGACAAAACTAGTTCGACTTCTTGGCCCACGCAATGCTTGCTGTTGGAGCTTCGCATCTCGGCCTCTGCAATGGCACTGACTACAACTCAGACGCCATATCGCATCGCGTTAAAGCAATCAAGTCGCTCAATTCCGCTCTGAGTACCTCATGTCAGACCAAGGAAGAGGGTGATGCTCGATACGCGACCCTCATGGCTCTAACATGGCAGTCCTCCTACATGGCTGATGGGATGCAAGAGTTCCTGTCCATGCTTCGCGGTTGTACTATCGTTTTCAAAAGCTCAATTTTTCAATTTGAGAACTCCATATTTCGCATGTTCTCAACAGAAGCGCACGTACAGCGCGTGAATGCTATCAACAACGGATTCGACATAGGCCTATCTGATCATGAAGCCATTGACGCTGGTATTGCATCCCTAAAGGCTATTGCGCCTCTGGGTCAAAGCACGCTGGAAATCAGCCTCGTCGCAAATCTTCAGGGCATCCTTGAGATGTCGCGGACTACTTGCGTTGGCGGTAAGATGCCACATTCATGTCACTATGAGTAAGCATTTGCTGACTTGCCAGCTTTTGGGACCATTTGTCGCGCATACCAATTATTTGGAGCGGCCAGCGCTTCTGACTACCTCACAATTTCCGATCCCGAGAATCACGTTGCCCAAATAATTATGTCCCATTTCTTCGCCATTGAGTATGTGCTTGCCTCGATTGCTCTGGCACCAGTATCGCCATCCTTCCCCTTCCGCAAGACTATCATTACAGCCTGGCTACAACGCGTTAAACAACAGGTCCCTGCAATTTATGAAACATATACAAGGTGGCCGCTTGAGTTTACTTCAAAGGCAAAAACTAATTGGGGGTAAGCTCTGTATAAAAGGAAGACTTAGATAATATTATCAATAATATAAATAAACTTAAAGTATAATGTAAGTTTTTAACTTGTATCCAAAGACAAAATCAATTTAATCCCACATCATCGCCGAGCAAGTTAACTCCAAGGCACCAGTGACTACATGACATGCTGACATGGAGCTGGCTGCTATAACCTTGGGAACTCGGGTAGGCGCGTTAACCGCAACGGTATACGACACCCGCGCAAGGACCGCCATCATACGAGATGTCTCCTCCATAATGGCCAACGTCTTATCGCTACTTGCAGGCTTCTCGCTAAGCTCCTGGAAGTGGTAGAATACACAGAAAAAGGCCGGTGCCGCAACAACCATGTCGAATATGGAGCTGATCTTTCTAGGGTCGGCAGCCGTAAGGACCTTCAGAAATTGGTACTTGTCAAAGAACTTCTGAGCCGGGCCACAGAACACACACTTGAATAGAACAGTGACAAGACCGGTGACTTTCCGAAGGGTAGAGATGAATTGGTTCTCGAGTGGAATCGTTGCAAAGAGGAAGTCGGTGGCAACAAGAGTGACAGCACCCGCTGCGCCAAGTAAAGCTGCGGGTATACGGCGTGGGTTCTGGGGGTCGGGATCTATAGCCTCGGGGTAGAAGATGAAGGTTCCTGCCATGAGGATGAAACCAGCAAGGCCGTGGCCCACGACATAGATGATACGCCCTATCTCACGCGGTACACTCAGGCGAGAAGTGCCGTCGTGTTTCTCGTCAGATGATAGCCGAGGAGGTTGCTTGACTACCGCAGAGAATGAAGCCCAATCTGTCGCACTGATTAATGCACGGGTCGTAGCGTTGTCTGCAAATGGAGCTTCGCCTGTGCCGATCTTGTAAATGACAGTGATACCTGCTGCACCAATCCAAAGGAATAGATCAAGGAAGGAAATATCGGGGACTCCGATCAGATTAAGTATATCGGATATGATGGGTATGTGGATTTTGGTGTCGAGCATATCAACGACAGTCCCAGCAAGTCTATGCAAGACGTCCAGTAGAGCATCGACGACCACCTTGGTTGTTCCAAGAATACCTTCGGCGAGAATTCCAACAAGCCGTCTGAGTATATCTGCGAGACTCAGAGTCGAGAATTCCTTTGCAAGGTCTTGAAGTTGTCTGAAGGCCTGCAGGAAGACCAAACCTTCTGCCTCCAACGCTGCGATCATGTCGTCCACTAGACCCTGCACCAGACTCGGTTCTGGCATTGAACCCTGTATCATGATATTGTTGGCTTGGTTCTTCAAGTGGCCCACCATCATTTGGGAACCAGCAGTCTCACTTTTGGTAGTATCGACTACAGTTCTCGATGGCGGTTTCGAAGCTGCATCACCGAGCCCTGACCAGTCTTTGATACCGGACCATTCAGCGACTGCTTTCTGGGCCTCGCCTATACACTCGTCTAGCTCTCCTTTGGCAGTCTGGATGCCAGATACCATGTCAACTAGGCAATATTTGACCATGTTGTGCGCCACCTGTTTGGTGCGACGGATATCGTCCCAGTCAAACAAGAACTCAAGATATCGGAGAACCTTGCTGACTCCCGTCTTGATTTTGTCAAAGACCCATTCTACAGCCCCGACGACAGCATCTACTCTATCGAGCAGAGCACGATAAATGTCGTTGCCGATCTTGACGACGAAATCCCAAAGTCCAGTAGCAGCGTTCTTGACGAAGTCCACTACCTTTTCAACTTCCGTCTTGAGCCAGTTGAACAAGTCTCCAATCGCTATAGCAATGTCATCACCAAACCCTGAGACTTTGCTACCTTGCGATACTACCATTGAGATAACAGGAGCTGTCATGTCGAGCGAAGCCTGACTTGCCCGAGACCGATTCACTTTGTAAGTGTCCGTCAACAGTTTCATGTTCTGAGCTGTCGCATCGAGATCCGAGTCGGATACCGAGGATAAAACCAATGGATCCGTACTAGAGCTTCCCGTCACACCACCAGCAACAGTATTTGTTCGAATCTGGGCATTCTTCAAAGCGTCCTTAGTTGAGAGTTTGGCGAGTTTGTCAAATGAAATGGCCATGGGGTTGACAACATGCTCAGCCTCACCCAACCGTACACTGATGGTAGACCCAACAATACTGTCAGTCGCTTGGATGACCATCACTTGACCAGATACACCAACAGGGACAGTCACCGGAGTGGTGGAAAGAATGTAGTAGATCCCATCAATGTATACCGGCGTACGGGCCACCGTTGAAAGAAGAATCTCGCCTTCGGTCAAGCGATGACCATCTGGCCCTTTGACAATGATCGTAGTGGTGTACGAGGTGAAAGACATAGGCTTGCTCTGTGGACTTGCCTCGAGCATAATGGATTGGGCACGCCACAGTTTGGACTCTGTGTTTGTAGCTTGTGTAAGCTTGTCGATCCTGTTGGCCCCTGCTGCAAAGACTGTGTTGCCCCCGTCCTTTAAGTTTATGAATGAGGTGATACGCTCAATTCCATGGAGCACAGGGACGGGGGCACTCCAAAGCATTGGTTTGGCAAGATGGTCAATCTGGCATGATGTGTAGTATACCGCATCGCTGGAATTCTTGCCAAAGATGGTTGTGATGCCATCGTGAATAAGTGCAATTAGCGTATCAGTGCCCGCAAAGACCGGGTTAGTCAACAAAGCCGTCCCAACCGTATTGTCGCGCAGTTGCTGGTTAGAACTCCATCGGTACAGCGTGGAGTCGTTAACAGCATAAAAGTCAGTGGTGCCATCTGTATACCGGGCTGAAGCGATTGCTGTTGCCAATACTTTGTTGAGAAGAGGAAGACGGGTTGGCATAGGTGCAGCACTGCCCGATGAGTTGAAGAGCGGCACATAGGACATTTGAGCGACGCCTTTAACGGAACCAGCTGTATAGATACCGTCGACAAAGGCACCTGGGACACGGCCTACACAGCTCTGATAGGTACCCTGCTCAACTTCAAAGGGAAGCGTATGGGGCATCCAGTGGACTCCCGTTGAGAAAGGATCGACGATATACCGAGACGTGGCCTTGAGATCAGAGTTCGGGTTCCGAAGGATGTCAACCATGATGTACTGCTGTTGCTGGTCCGTCTCAGAAATATAAATACCAGTTATTTGAATCGAGCTTGGTCTGTTTTGCGCATCAAAAGGGAAAGATGTCCAATCGGGATTGGAGATCCATTGAGAAGTAGAGGAAGGCGAGTTGTTAAGTGAAAGGAATAAATTATCAGACCCATTAGAACGAACGGCCATGGCTAAACTTATAGTATGGTTATTCATGACACTCTGTCCAACGTCGAAATGAACAGCCTTTGCGCCTGATGAGAACTTCTCGTTGATGATCTTGGTAGACAAATTGGTAGCTCTCCAGCCTGTTCTTATCTCTGCAACAGTCTCTTCAAAGACATTGAATACACCCGAAGAGTCGATTGCAAAGAGTAATGCGGTCCCATTGGCAGTCTGGAGAGCGCGGAACTCTCCCTCAGGATTAACCAGTTCTCCCTGTACGTAGTTAAGCATTAGCTCTGTGCTACTCGTGATAACTGCTCGTTCTTGACGCCGTTTGGAATTGACTTTTTCGGCGGGTGGCGGGTGCTCGAGAGTAGTAGACATACCCTCAACATTGGAATTCTTGTCGCCATTTTGGGCAACACTGATACCTAAGCGGTCCGCATTCATAAGAGTTGAGTCCTCAATTGGAAGTGGTGGTTTCTCAGCCATATTCTCTTCTTCTAGGCGCTTCAGCTCTCCAGCTCGAAGTTGCAGAACAAAGGCTGCAAGAGACGGAACCTCGTCAAGATAGATAGTCTCGGGAGGGTCGTCGGTCCGGTGACTCGGGTCAGATCTCATGAGCTTCCAAGGGTCCTCTGTCGGGCTCACATAAGTGATGCAACAAGCGAGATCAGAGTGATTGGAGAAGGACGCGTCCTTGTAAGAGAAAACTTTGGCTCCAGGAAACACAAAGTTTTTGATGCTGTTGAAAGGAAGACTCTTAAGACTAGCATTGGGCAAGGCTGAGATGGTGTTCTTGATGTTTCTGAGCCTGGTTTGGAGGCCTACAAATTTATCGGCAAAGCCGATTTTAATATCTCCCGCACTATCAGTCATAGTTGAGTTATTGGTGGTCGAAGAGGTCAGACCGCCGTTCTCATCGACAGAAATGACAAACTCGTCTGAGCGAATCTGGTTGACGACGTACGCATCTGCTTTAGAGGCTGCCCACTGAACGAAAACCCAAATCCAGAGGCCCTGGACAACTGTGAAGGTGTTGCCACCTACGTAGACAGGCGGGTTCTTGGTCTGGTCATAGTTGCCGAACACAATAGTGCAAGAATAGGTTGAGCTAATCTTGAGTTCTCCATACGGGAGAGCGTAATGGTCGTCTGCTCGGACTGAAAAACTGTAGTCCAATTTGGCAACGAGAGGGCCAGAAGGTGGAATTTCGACCGTATGCGGCTCCTATCCAGGTGCAAAGTCCCATTCGTACTTTACCTTGCCCAACTCATTTTCTGCAGTGACATTTACGTTCGGCTTGATACAAGAGCTTCGGACCTGAGGAAGAATCTGGTCAACCAGATACCGAGCCATGGTATCTCTTTTAATGGAGATCACGCCGCTGGATTGAGCGAGGTCTCGTGGTTCGATCCAATTCCAGGTGAAGGACGAAGGTCCTGGAAGTCGATGTCCATCGGTAGCACACAAATAGTTGAGCGTCGTGGCAGCTATCTCAAGGTCAGACGGATTCTTGATCTGCTCACCAGATGAAGAATCAACGACTGGGCTGACCCAGCGCTCAAGTGCAGTTAGTCGAAGTGGTGATCCGTCAGGGTGTTGAGCAACTGCAGTGACTCCAATGAGTGGGAGACCGTACTGCTTGGCGATTTTTGACCAGATGTTGATGAACGATTTGCCCAATAGATACGAAGCCGTCTCATCTGTGACTCCAACAAACGTAGGAACTGATTGGGCGATAGCGTTGTCGAGGTTGAAAAGGAGCTGCTGCAGGCTGAATGCTGAGTCTGAAATGTTATCCAATCTAAGTCTGAGTGCATCACGCTCCGCTGGGTGAGCATTGAAGTATGGAGTGTTGAGGTTCCTGTCCAGCTCCGAGTTGAGAAGGTTGGTCTGTGTTTTCACATACCACGGCTTTCCGGGAGGCTGACTGAACCATTTCCATGATCCTTTTGATCCCCATCCTACATAGTGTTAACAAAGGAGTTACTGAGCAACTAGGTAGCGCTGACTCACCACTGGGAACACTATTCTTGATAATAGTTATATCAGAGCAGTACATGTTGAAAGTAACACTTTCAGAAGTTTTGCCCAAGTTGACGATTGGCTCAGGCAGATTTATCTGGGGACCCTTGTTGGGAACATTCACAACGCATCCAGGTGGGATTCCACTTCGCATTCTGATGGCACAGATCAGACGGACTTGATACATCTTCTGGATACGTTCGTCCTCCCAGTCTGTGCCGTCGGGAATGTCGAAAGGGCTAATTCCACCGCTGAGCCTGACAACATCTTCGAGGGGTACCTCGCTGGTGGGGTCACCATTCTGGTCAGCTAAAAAGCAAAGGTAGGTATAATCCTGGGTTCTTCCAGTATTCTGGAGATATTGAACGAGGCCGGCGTTGATGCTTTCCTGAGTGGTGGCGACGACAAAGTCATAGCCGTATTTTGAGTTACTGAGGTGAGATTGGCTGGGAGTCATGGTTGTTCTAGTCAAGAAGAATAATGTTTATTGATTTAGTTGATAAAATAACTGTTTGAGTCTAACTTGTCGGGCTCGGTCATTGTATTTAACTTATTGCACCTTAACTCCCATCCTCGACCTATACGAATCAATTATTTAACCTTCACAGTCTCTACCGTCATTCCAGTTCAAATGCTATCAATATGTTGTTTGCAGCTGAAACTTATGGCTGAGAGCTTAAATCGGAGAGAACATGGCCATTCAGGTTATAGAAGAAGGTTGATGCTTTATAATGCGGCCATTTTAGCAAACAAACTTCAAGCCATAAACGAGAACGGTCAGCCTCTGCTGAGACTGTTGATGTATTTTCTGGTGGATGGACTGGTGGTGATACTCTCGAGATTGTGACTTGAAATACATGTACGACGGGCCGAGCCTTTTTGACAGGCCGTATGACAGCGAAATTGAGTTTTCTTCGGTATCCGTATTGCATTACCCCCGCTTGGCTGGGCTTGCAACGGACCAACTGGATGAAGATAAACAAGTATAAAGTTCAAATCTAGCCGTATGGCTTGCCCTTGGTTTAGACAGAAAACGGAAAACGGCACGGTTGGCCGGCAGCCATTAACTTTTCGGAAGCATGGCTAACCAATTGCCTATCAAGTTCTTACCCACGTCCTTTAGGCTTCTATGCTATAATGGAGTTGCCTGAAAGAGGCTCAGCAGAGACATAATGAAAGCTTAAATCGTGACGACGCAGCATTCCAGATATGTGATACAACAATGTTTTGTACAGAAGCGGGGAACGCATGATTTATAGCCGGTAACGTTCTAGATCTCCTTTTACTACGAATACTGACTTTCCATCACCCCTCCTCCCTCCTGGCTTTGCGAGACGTGTACAGTCGTTCAAAGTCGTTATGCAAATGCGTTGTTTGCAGTTGAGACTTGTGGCTAGGAGCTTCAATGAGCAGACAGAGCTTAAGTTGAAGGTCAATGCCTGCGTTTCTGACACAACATATCATGCCATCCGATTAAGGAGATAGCCGAGCGCTTTTACGCGTGTGCCCCATAGGGCTGACATTATATGTAGCTTATAGGATCTCAAGTGGCCTATCGGAAGTCTTAGCTGTAGAAGGATTCGAATACGTTAGCAGTTGGCTGCTGTTTTTAGTATGGCTTGTGCATTTGTGGCTGGCTGAAATTTCAGACCAGACATTGACTGACTGGCTCAAAGTAATAGCATAAACAAACTTGGCTGTAATGTTAATAGGTGAGTCACTTTAGTCTTTAGATGACAGCTTTATGGTGTCGGCGGGGTATATAACTGATTGAGGGGCTTGTATTACAGATACTTGTTTATAGGAGTAAATTAAATCTAGATTTAAATCTCTAAATACTACTGTAATAGGCTATAGTCCTGTATGTCTATACAATGCTTTAAAGAATTTAATAATAAATATGTAATCATATTTTTAATATATAGTATACTAAGCTTGATTAAAGTTATAATCTACTTATCTATCTTCCTTCTCGGCTCACCTTAGGCTGTAATTAAACGCCTCTGAAAAAAAGACCCTTAAATCACAGAGTGGACCTGTTTCAGTCAATCAGAGGGCGCTATGCCTCTTACACCACAGATTCCAGATAACGAGCGAGTGGGTACGGCAATCAGCCTATCTACACTACTTCACTAAGCTTCTTGCAGTAAGAATTTCCAGATTAGAATTCAGCTAATTATCTACCAGTATGATATGGCTGATAAGATAACGAACGGCAGAGAGAGTGACTCCCCTGCACATTCAGAGCTTCCCCAGGTTCCTAACATCCCGGCGCAAGCTCACCCCGACTCTACGGCATTGTCCCACCACCGAAGCCGTTTGGCCAGGACATATTGTGCAACCAAGGTTAGATGAACGCTGTTGATAGGCTAGGTTCATTTAACTAACCCGGGATCGTTCCAGGGTATACGTACCTAAGTAGGCAGCGATGGAAAAAGAGCCCCTCGAATACAAACTCAAACGGACAAGACAGGCATGTGCCAATTGCAGGTATGGAATATGCACTGTCTTCCCTCTCGGTATGGGTTGGAGAAACTCACTGTCATCAAGGCGCAAAAAGGTCCGCTGCTCTGGAGAACGTCCGACATGCACATACTGCACACGCCTCAAGCAGACATGCTACTATGAAGAATCACTCAAAGACGAGGGGCAAAATGACTCTGACAGGCTCCTCCGCTCACTCATGCCAGCAGGAACTAGCAAGGAAGAAAGTATATCTTCACTTTCTCTCGAGACCCGAATGACCTCGCTCGAAACGAGTGTGCAAAGGCAAGGCTTGTGAGATCGTGTACACATAACATTTCGTTCGGCTGACCAAGTAACTCGGTAGCCTCATAAGTCTTCTCACCAATGAACGTGGCATGACTGACGGAAATAACTTCCATCTGAGTCGCAAAGAGAATGTCGCCGGAGATGCCAAGTGGCTGACTCTCACGTCCGACATGACGCTTTCTGCTGCGGCAGACCTGTACTTCCAGTACTGCCATAACCAACCATACTCCCTCTTCCACGAGGACACCTTTCGCCATCGCTTGGCTGCTCAAAAGCTTCCGGACTACCTTTGCCTCGCCTTATTGGCCACAGCGAGCCGATTTTCTCGTTCCACTAGACCATTGTTGCTCTGTGCAGACCAGGCTTGGGAGCTTGCCATCAAGCGCTCAACAGCTAGCATTGACTCTGCGGAGAGTCTAACGATTGCCCAAACGATTCACCTTCTTTGCGTCATTGACTACTCTGGTATGCGATGCCTCTTTTGTAAACGCAGACTATCAGTAAAGCTGATCTCTTCCAGATGGCCGATGTCGCGCTGCATGGATTAAGCTTGGGTTGGCTGTTCGTATAGCGCAGTGCTACCGGTTCAATACTGAGCCAGATCCCCGTCTTCGTCCTGAAGTTCAGGAAGAATATCGACGGACGTTCTGGTCTATCTACCTACTTGACCGGCTGATGTCTTGCGGGCGAGAAAGACCGACGGCGCTGCAAGACAAGGACTGCCTATTACGTCTTCCGTCCAACGAACAAGCTTTCCGAGACTGCATTGCCAATCGGGGTCCAGTACTTGAACAGCTCACTGGAGACGCGCCAGCAGTTACCGAGCTACCCGAACACAGTCACTTTTCTGTCATCATCTTGATGGCAGCGACACTAATCCGCGTGGTGAATTACGTGCTGCGAGAGGACTCACAAGTTCAAGACGAAGTTCCCTGGTCTGCTGCTTCACAGTACTCCGCGCTCGAGTCAACTCTGTGGCGACTAGAGCTCAATTACGGACTACTAGATCCATTAAATGCCGTGTGGGAGCAATCGCTCACTTCAGGTAGCGTGGTAGACCCACGAGCCGCTGGGCCTCTGATATATGGCCGCGCCTTGTTCCATCTCGCGGGCTGTCTGCTTCACCACCCTTTCCTCCTACAGCATCGCCTAGCAGAGTCGGCTAGTAGGACACCTCCAGGGTTCTTGAGCAAAGCCTGGACGTCAGCCAGAAGCCACGCCACTGCACTCACATTGTTACAGGAAACAGAAAACCTTGGCTGCGTCACGGTTTCTTGCTTCAGAGGGTATTGCGCCATGGTTGCCGGCTCAATCCACCTTCTCTTTGCGTCTGACAGTAACGATGAGATACGCGAGGCGTCGGTCCGACGATACGAGGAGTGCAGAGGCCTACTGCTAAAGCTGTGCCGTTACTGGGAGAGTTCGAGGCTAATGGTGAGTTTTCCTTGTATATTGCTCGTTCTAGATCTGCATTATTGATAAGTGGCAGTTCATGAAGCTTGAGCGTCTGTATGAAGACAGAGGCCGATATCGTCAGTTTTTTGAGTACACACTAGCTATGGGCGAAAAGACCAAACTCGCAACGTTCTGGGACAGTATCGACAACTGGGTTCCATCGAGCCGATCTCCGAGCCCCGAGCATGGCCCTCCTGAGCCAGTACAGCCGATTCATTTCCCAACTTCTATGGACTTCTTTGATCTCGCGCCAGCAGATCCTTGGGGAAACGGAAACTCAATCTTCGGAACGGACTTTGTGAACGGCAACAATTTCATGTGAAGTGGACATATCAAAGATAGTACAACGTATGTTCCAGTGCTTAAGGGAGTGGGTAGGATGTCATATATTACGTTCCCTATTGTCGACTTCTATCTAAAATATGGCATGTTTCAACTATCTCCTAATCCTTTTTAGGCTAACCCCAAAGCATGTATTTGAATGAGTGTGATGTATGGAAAGATCTCATCGCTTTAGTCAACAGACTTGTCGCTCGTAAGAACATAATACGTCTTTACAAAAGGCGCCTCAGATGTCCATGTGACCTTCAGACCAGAGGGCAATGCAATTATATCTCCGGCTTGGAACTTGAGCGTCTTCCCGGTGTCATGCTCGGTAATGGTGACCAATCCTTCAAGAAGCATGATGGTTTCGTCGCCAAGAGGCGCACTGTACTCAAACGATGTAAAGCCATCAGAGTTACATCCAGGCATCCCACGGCCTGTTCTCCAAAGTCCGACCTCGAGACTTCCTGTTGAGCCTGTATCTCTGACGAGGTGAAACTCGCCAGCTTGCTGTTTGCCCTTGCCTGGCTCGTCCCAAGCATAAGAAGTCCATACTTGGGGGCTGTCGTTAATGTTGCCAATTATGAGGTCGTCCTTTGCGCTTCCGGGGGTAGATCCATCCCACATGACCCAGAACTTCTTCAGAAAAGGGGCGCTGGTGTGCCAAGAAAGCTGGACATATTTTGGATGGCAGATAATGTCGCCTGCTCTAAGTTGATACTTCTTGCCGGTGGACTTGATGGTAACCTCTGTCGAGCCCTCGAGCAGCAGCATAGTTTCATCGCCGAGGGGAGCTGAATACACGACATCGCAAGTGCCGTCCTCGTTGCATCCAGGGATTCCTGGGCCCGTGCGCCAGAGGCCTGCACTCAGAGATCCGGATGTTCCTCCGCTTCGAATAACCAC